ATAGCAGCCTGTATATGAAAGATGGAAGGTGTTGGAGCAGTGGCTGCCAATCTTCCTAGTGCCGCGACCCCCGAACATAAAATTATTTTCGTTGCTACTTTATAATAACTTCAGTGAATATGTGTTTTCTGATGGTCTTAGGCGACTGCTGTGAAATGGTCGTTCGACCTTAAGGGGGTCGCAACCCACAGGCCGAGAACCGCTGTGTTAGAGGCTAAAATGTACCTTGAATTCGCAACGGACAGGGATAAACTTCTACACAAGTATATCATAGATCTTCTGTCCAGTTATTCGGGTGTGCGGGGTATTGACCTGGCTGATAGGTTGGCTGCTGTAGCTCATCTAGATGGTGATAAAGTGGACATGGTGAAGGCTCTCTGGGATCAAATGGACAGAGAACATACAGTGAATTCATATACTGAAAGACTAATTCAACCGTAGGGGAAGGGGGTGGGTGGGAAGGTCCGGAAGGTATTCAATATTGAGGAAAAAATGTATCATCATCATCATCATCAGGTGCCTTGCCGACTGGCATGGGCCATCATGCCTCTCCACAATCTGCGATCTCCTGCAGCATGTATGCGGACTTTTAATCATGTTGCAGCTGGTACTATTAGCATCTCGACTCTTCGTTGGCTATTGAGGAAGGAGACGGAGCAAGTGTGGGAATGTCCCGAGTGCAGTGATGTTGATTCTTGATTCATTCATACTTTTCTTTGCGAAGTCATGTATTCCCCACTTCACACAACAGTTTAAAAACACACTTCGCGGAGCCCGCTCTTCTGTGTGTACTGAAACTTTTGGATCCGGACAATCTAAAAATACGAATCGGAGCCGGGTGTTTTGAAACTTTGATCTACACTTCTGTTTGTAAACTTTACTTCCGTCCCGTCGGCACCTGAGTACGACTAAATAATAGTAATTACTAATACATTATTTAAATGCTCAGAAATAATTATATATTCTATAAGTAATTTTGCCTATATAATGTTACATTACACGGCTGTAGCAGTCACAGACTAAAAACGATTATAAATTATACTCAATGTGACTTTATTACTTTATTTTAGAAATATTATTATTCATATACTTTATATAGTTAAGTTAGTATTGCTCATCACTGCTTGAGTATAATATGGTAACAACCCGCAACCGCCCCCCTGAGTGTATGGCAACACCCCCCCCCCCCCCGCTTCCCTTGGGTATATGTTAATAATTAATAATTACTGTTCTCACAATCTTTTATTTTTAAATTAAATTTCATTAAAAATTCCTATTACTTAAAATAATTAAAACTTTCATTCAAATAATAATTATTATGAAATAAATAGTAGTAACTGTACTAGAATGTTACTTTGTTTTTTAAAATTTTTAACTATGAATAACCACAGCCCTGTTACTAGTTTAATTAGAAGTACTGAGTAGCAGCAGGAGTATTTGTGAAGTCTCCTCGTGGTATTTTGTTAATCCTCTTAACTCTTCCAGGCCCATGAATTTTGGACTTCTTCTTCTTCTGCCTTTCTTGCCCCCAGTGGAGCATAGACCCTTAACCAACTCACGCCAAGTTGTTCTATCTTTTGCTATCACATGCAGCTCTCCCCATCTTTATAACTTCAGTCTCCAGCTCCCTTCTCCATGTGTTTTATGGCCTTTCTTTATTCCTATGCATCTATGGGTTCCAGTGCAAAGACATTCTAGTTATATTGTTCTCTTGTTTTCTCAATGTGTGACCAATGTAGTTCTCTACCAAAGCTCTACATGAGTGATTCTATAATACCATTTAGTTCCCTCTTTTCTACGCAGGCACCAGTTAATCAGTGTGTATGGTTTATTAGTATTTGCCTTAGTTGTTCTACTTGTTTCTGTTCCATACAAAAGTACTGATTTGACATTAGAATTAAACATTTTAAGTATAGTATTTCTTTTAATTTTTTTAACCTCTACAAATTCCCTAATGCTATGAAAGCTCCTCTCGCTTTTTGCATTCTTATTTTAATATCTCTATCAGTTCCCCCATCTTTATCTACATTACTGCCCAAAAAGGTGTACGACTCCACGTCTATTTGCCTGATTTATTCTCATTATCTTTGTCTTTCCTTTATGGATTTTCAGACCTAGCTGCTGTGATCCCGCATCAAGTATATTTAATTTATCTTGTATCTGATTCCGTGAATGGGACAGAAGAGAAATATAATCAGCGAAGTCCAGATCATCAAGCTGGTTTGTAGGGGTCCACTGAATTTCATTCTTTGTGTTAGCAGTTACTGTTTTCATAATCCAGTCTATTGTCAGTAAAAATAGGAGAGGCGACAAAAGACATCCCTTTCGCACACCTGTATTTATTTCAAATGTATCTGTTAGCTTTCCCTCATTTTATTTATCCCAAGCCTGCTGTGACATCACGGTCCAGTATATGTGTATTAAGAGATTTCTGTTACCCATCTATGCCGGTTCTGCACCAGTTAAGTTGCATATCCTTTACAGGACGTTGCAGAACCTGCCCCAGCATTTTTTGGCTGTTGTGGTTTTTCTAGGTAAATTAACGTCCAGTAGTTTAGTTCTGCAACACTTGGTGGTAAATTGATGTATGACAAGCTAGACATTGTGAGGACCATTTGGGAGTGCGTGATCAGTGCGGAAACGCAAATAGATCAATGCAGTCTGAGGATAATGGTGCTGCGAGGAGTTACCAGGGGATCTGGCCAATGCTCAACACTCAAGGAAAGGGCAAGACAGATATACAATCAGATAGTTACTGGTGCCATAAGAAATGGAACTCTTCATTTGCTGCTGAAGATGGGGACGGAGCGCTTATGGGAGTGTCACAAGTGCTGTGATGTTGATTCTTAATGCAACATTTAATATATTTTGTTGTTGTTACCCATCTATTCTATTATCTGTCACAGCCCGGACAATGGCGGTTAATCAAAGCTGATGTTTCTGAGAGTTAAATAGTTTAAACTTTCTTATATCTTTGAGTGGATGTTGGTTTTTAATAATATTAGTTAATTTCTGTGGTCATACTAGCTGTTCGGAAAGGGAGAGATGGAGTCAGCCTGGGCACAACTCGTGTCTGTGACTGACGTAGAATCGTCTGCAATTCCACTGATAAAAGATAAGTTCGTCATTGGCAGAAACAACGGTAAGTGCTATAGAGTTTTACTCGCACAACAACATCAACACCACCACTAACAACAGAAGAATAGTTTAAATTTAAGTGACATGACAAAGTTGGCAAACATACAATACCTCATGAGGTTGAAACCCATTCATGACTAACTTGATAGTTTGGACAAATGTGCAGACTGGAAGGGAATTGGCAACCATGGGAGGCCAAGAACAAAGAAAGCAGACCACCAGGATGACCCAGGGTTTGCTGGGAAGACATCTGACAGTTCCCGACTAAGAGAGGACTGGAATGGAACAAAGCCAAAAAGAAAACTGCTGGTAGAGACATCTGGCAATCTCTCTGGCAAACCTCTACACCCCAGGGCAGAAAAAGATCAACTCAGTTGTAGTAGTTAATTGTATTAATACATGTTAAAATATAGTTTGTTGTTTTATTTGTCGTAAATAACTTACTTAGCCAATCTGATGATTATGTTCATTCCCACTGGGCTCAAATTAAAATTTAGATTCACTGCCCTTATTGAATTTGTAGCCTTCCTCTTAGTTTGGCTTAACAAAAAGGCTTATGAATTTGCCAACTGCACAGAGACACTGCATGATACTGCACTAGGTTAGAAATGGTACAATAATTGCAACTTGTTTCTTCTACAAGCCACCCTATGTAATCCTTGTGATCAAATTCTGTAGAATGTTCTTTCATAAGTTAATCTGAAACAGGGAACGTCAAACTGCTGTTACCTGTCTGAACCATATATTTTAATGTAAACATCAGCTTGCTGAAAACAGGTGTTTGAGTGTGTAAATATTGTTCATCAATTAGGGTTTTGTGTGTTTTCAGTGTTTCAAACAACCAGGGAGTTGATATTTTGCTTCATACTTGCTTCTTCCAAATAAATCTCTTTATGCCTTTAGCTGTCAGCTTGTTTATTGTGATCTCTTTTCACTTTCATGGCTTTTTATAACCTAGCTTTGAAGAATCTAGAGTAAAAAAAACAAACATGACCTTCGCTTCCTGTCGACTCCATCACAGCACTCAGGGCATTGTCATGCGTGCTCCGTCCTCATCATAGCACAGAGAGACCAAGATAGAAAATGTTAGACACTTTGACATCAAAACAGGGAGAGACCAAGATAGAAAATGTTAGACACTTTGACATCAAAACAGGGAGAGACCAAGATAGAAGTTGTTAGACACTGGTAGAACAACTATAAGATGGAGAGACACCTGAATAAATTGATTGGCAGTACAGATGGCAAATGGCTTTGGACAGACATTATGTCCAGTGCTATATGGAAAGGACCTCAAAAGGAAGAATCTCTATGTGTTATGTATTCATGGGTCTCACCTGGTCCTCTGTGATTGAGATGATATTTTGTGGAAAAAAACAAATATTGAAAAATCTATAATTGTTTTGAAGATGACATTCTGACCTCATTGAGCCAGTTATAAGGACACATTTGAGAAGATGAGTTTGTCAGTGTATAACACGGTAACATGTTTTCACAGGTTGTGTTCTCACTCCCACCCTGTTATAATGGTGACGTTTAGAAGATGAGTTCATAAGTATGTGTTATAACACTGTAACATGTTTATACAGGTTGTGTTCTCACTCCCACCCTGTTATAATGGTGACATTTAGAAGATGAGTTCATCAGTATGTGTTATAACACTGTAACATGTTTACACAAGTTGTGTTCTCACTCCCACCCTGTTATAATGGTGATGTTTAGAAGATGAGTTCATCAGTATGTGTTATAACACTGTAACATGTTTATACAGGTTGTGTTCTCACTCCCACCCTGTTATAATGGTCACATTTAGAAGATGAGTTCATCAGTATGTGTTATAACACTGTAACATGTTTATACAGGTTGTGATCTAGCTCATCCAGACAATAAGCTAGTGTCGGGCAAGCACTGCTACATCAACAGAGATGAGAATGGCAGAGTTTGGCTATACGATACAAGGTTATTACAGTGTGATTGTTACAGATTCTTGCTCATAGTATAATCCTCATTAAGTGCCTTGCCAACTGGCATGGGTGATCATGCTTCTTCTCAACCTACTTTTCTAGCAGACTATCAGTTTATGCCATATCTTTCCATGCTGTGATGTCAGGCTGTTAAACATCTTCTCTCGCTGCTTCTTTTATCTGTTTTGCCATTACCTTTACTAGTTGTTACATGTTAAACCTTTATCATCTCATCATGTGGCCAACAGTTTGGTCTTTATTCTTATATTTGTGATGTTTTCTTCATGTGTTTGCCTCCTTCAGAACATGTGTGATGATAATAATGAAAGTGTCACACTGCTAGAAATTATGATAGTGGTAGCTTTGTGCCAAGTGATGGTGGTTCATCCACAAACATTTCAAGGAAAACCAGGAAACAGCTGCTCAGCATGCCTCTCCAGGATTGGTGCTGTGCTTGTAACATTCTCCTCTTCAATCAGAGCCACTGAGTCCCTGATCCTTAAATCAGACAGAATATTATGCCATGAGATTTGTTGTTCCAGCTTAGGAAACTGAAGTGCTCACAGTGTGCAGGTTATCAACTGAAGTGCCCACTGTGTGGGGGTTATCAGCTGAAGTGCCCACTGGGTGGAGGTTATCAGCTGAAGTGCCCACTGTGTGGAGGTTATCAGCTGAAGTGCCCACTGTGTGCAGGTTATCAACTGAAGTGCCTACTGTGTGCAGGTTATCAACTGAAGTACCCACAGTGATGAGGTTATCAACTGAAGTGCCCACTGTGTGCAGGTTATCAACTGAAGAGCCCACTGTGTGCAGGTTATCAACTGAAGTGCCCACTGTGTGGAGGTTATCAACTGAAGTGCCCACTGTGTGGAGGTTATCAACTGAAGTGCCCACTGTGTGGAGGTTATCAACTGAAGTGCCCACTGTGTGAAGGTTATCAACTGAAGTGCCCACTGTGAATTATCACCTGAAGTGCCCACTGTGTGGAGGTTATCAACTGAAGTGCCCTCTATGTGGAGGTTATCAACTGAAGTGCCCACTATGTGGAGGTTATTATCTGAAGTGCCCACTGTGTGGAGGTTATCAACTAAAGTGCCCACTGTGTGGAGGTTATCAACTGAAGTGCCCACTGTGTGGAGGTTATCAACTGAAGTGCCCACTGTGTGGAGGTTATCATCTGAAGTGCCCACTGTGTGGAGGTTATCAACTGAAGTGCCCACTGTGTGGAGGTTATCACATGAAGTACCCACTGTGTGGAGGTTATCACCTGAAATGACCACTGTGTGGAGGTTATCACCTGAAATGACCACTGTGTGGAGGTTATCAACTGAAGTGCCCACTGTGTGGAGGTTATCAACTGAAGTGCCCACTGTGTGGAGGTTATCATCTGAAGTGCCCACTGTGTGGAGGTTATCAACTGAAGTGCCCACTGTGTGGAGGTTATCACATGAAGTACCCACTGTGTGGAGGTTATCACCTGAAATGACCACTGTGTGGAGGTTATCACCTGAAATGACCACTGTGTGGAGGTTATCAACTGAAGTGCCCACTGGGTGGAGGTTTTCAACTGAAGTGCCCATTGTGTGGAGGTTATCACCTGAAGTGCCCACTGTGTGGAGGTTATCACCTGAAGTGCCCACTGTGTGGAGGTTATCACCTGAGGTGCCCACTGTGTGGAGGTTATCATCTGAAGTACCCACTGTGTGGTTATCACCTGAAGTGCCCACTGTGTGGAGGCTATCAAGTCTGTGGAATGCATCTGTTTGGTCTCTAAAGTTATCCCTTGAGATTGGCTGGAATATGAAAAAGGCTGGAAAATTGTGCAATTGCATTAAATTTAATTCTTCATTTTGACATATATGAATTAGGAATTCACTTTTGTGCCTGTGGCATTTTGTAAAGTGAAAAGTAACAGCCCTTAAAATTAGGGCTGTACCAAATATTCGCTTCGTATTCGCTTCGGGGCCGAATAGTGGACCTAATAACTATTCAGTATTTGGCCGAATTCTTGCGGTCGAGTTGAATATGAAAAGTGGCTACCTCACACCCGTTTATGCATTCACTGCGATAGTGTCTGTTATCTAAGTCGCTTTCATGCATTAAGTAAGCTGTCAGTGACAATTTACAAGTTTAGTTACTTGTTATAAAACTAAGAATATACTTTCATTCCTAGGTATTAGTTACCACAGACTGACTGACTGAGGGATGCAAAACAAAATGTTTTTAAATGTTCTGTACTACATTTTGTTAAGTAACATTTCAGCGTACATTTGACATTATGAATGTTTTATACTCTATAACTTTTCGAAAGTGGAAGAATGGGCCTCAGTTTGAATAGTCGGAAGACAGAAGTAATAGTGGTATCTAAAAAAATAAATATTCCTGAATGGGTAATAAAAGTCAATGGTGTTATTTTGGGACAAGTACATACATTTAAGTATCTGGGCACATGGATAACATCAGATGGAAGATGCATAACTGAAATAAGAAACAGAACAGGACATGCAAAAACTGCATTTTATAAAATGAAGAACATCTTATGCGATATATCTTTGTCATTTAGGGTTAGAAAAAGAATTCTTGCTTGCTACATACATCCAGTTTTAACATGGCTGTGAGTCTTGGACAATCGGTAGGCAGGCCAAACAATTTCTTGTGGCCTCGGAGATGTTTTACAGAACAATACTTAAAATTCATTAGACAGAAAGAGACATCATTTTCGGCCATGTTATGAGAAGAGGGAAAATGAACATGTGGTGACCACTGGAAAGATCTGTGGAAGGACAGAGGAAGACAACGAGAGAAGATTCTGGACAGTCTTGTTACATGGCATGGAGGTGTGTCACCACACGAACTGATACATGCTGCAGGAGATCGCAGATTGTGGCGAGGCATAATCGCCCACGCCAGTCGGCAAGGCACCCGATGATGATAATGCACTATTCGTGTTCGGCCAAATAGTTGGCCTTGCTATTCGTATTCCGCCGAATAGTGAAAATACTATTCGGTACAGCCCTACTTAAAATACACTTAAGTAAAATAGCCAAATCACACTTTGGTGACTTAGGCATTGTATGTCAGATATATGTGGGTAAAAAAGTGCAAATATTGTTGCTGTGTTAGATACAGGCATGATACTATTATGCTTTATTTACCTCACTGAGTATTTAATATACTTGTGAGGGTTCTTGGGACCCAATTCTGAGGGGTTACGTGAATAGACGGTCGTGATGCTGACCATATCACCAACCGATTGCTCTATAAAATTTTTGTCCAGCCAAATATGCCCAATAGATAAAGAAATTAAGGAACAGTTCTCAGTTACGGTCTCTAATAAGTACCAGGTGTTGCAGCAGTTAGCTGAAGATGTCAACACAGAAGTCTGCTGGGATCAGATCAAAGGAATCTGGAATGAATCTTGCGTAGAAGTTCTTGGCAAGAAAGAAAGGAAACATAAAGCATGGATAACACCAGAAACCATTAAATTGATTGAAGACAGGAAAAGTAAAAAGGCAGAATTAAACAATAGCAAAACTAGAGCTGCTAAAGCTAGAGCTCAGGAGAATTACACAGAAGCCAACAAGGAAGTTAGGAGGCATATAAGGGCAGATAAAGTGAAACATCTAAATGATCTAGCACAAGAAGCAGAGACAGCAGCAGCAAAAGGAAACCTCAGAGAACTTTACAGCAACACAAGAAAATTAGTAGGTAAATATAGTCAGCCAACTGGATCAATCAAAAATAGTCAAGGAAAGGTACTTACTAACACTAAAGATCAAATGGACAGATGGGTTGAATATTTTGAAATGCTTCTAAATAGACCAGGCCCAGAGGTTCCCCCAGATATCCAGCCTTTAGAAATGGAACTGAATATCAACTGTGAGATACCATCCAAAGAGGAAATTAGAAAAGCTATAAATCTTCTTAAGGAAGGAAAGGCGTCAGGCCCAGATGGTATCCCAGCTGAAGCCATCAGGACCAACATAAACACATCAACAGAATTGCTACATAGATTATTCAGTAAAGTCTGGGAGACCGAAGAAATACCAGCAGACTGGAGAGAAGGATATCTTGTGAAACTGCCCAAAAAAGGTGATCTACAGGAGTGTGAAAACTATAGAGGAATTATGTTGCTGTCAGTTCCTGGAAAAATATTAAGTAGAATTATTTTGGAAAGATTAAAAGATGCTATTGATAAAATGCTAAGAGATGAGCAGGCGGGTTTTCGGTCCAACAGATCCTGTACTGATCAGATAGCCACATTACGTATTATAATAGAGCAAAGCATTGAACTGAACTCACCACTTTACATTGGATTTATAGACTATGAAAAAGCATTTGACAGCATTGATAGGGAATCTCTCTGGAAATTGATGGGGCACTATGGAATCCCACAGAAAATTATCAACTTAGTAAAGGCAACATATAAAGACATGAAATGTCGAGTTCTTCATGAGGGAAAGCTAACAGATGCATTTGAAATAAAAACAGGTGTGCGACAGGGATGTCTTTTGTCGCCTCTCCTATTTTTACTGGCTATAGACTGGACTATGAAAACAGTAACTGCTAACACCAAGAATGGAATTCAGTGGACCCCTACAAAACAGCTTGATGATCTGGACTTCGCTGATGATATTGCCCTTCTGTCCCATTCACGGAATCAGATACAAGATAAATTAAATATACTTAATGCGAGATCACAGCAGCTTGGTCTGAAAATCCATAAAGGAAAGACAAAGATAATGAGAATAAATCAGGCAAATAGTAATGTGGTTTCTCTTAATGGCACCCCACTCCAAGACGTGGAGTCGTACACCTATTTGGGCAGTAATGTAGATAAAGATGGAGGAACTGATAGAGATATTAAAATAAGAATACAAAAGGCAAGAGGGGCTTTCATAGCACTAGGGAATTTGTGGAGGTCAAAAGAAATTAAAAGAAATACTAAACTAAAAATTTTTAATTCTAATGTCAAATCAGTACTATTGTATGGGGCGGAAACATGGAGAACAACGAAGGCAATTACTAATAAATTACAGACATTCATTAACTGGTGCCTGCGCAGAATAGAGGGAATAAAATGGTATGATAGAATAACTAATGTAGAACTTTGGGAGAGAACTAAACAGGCTCCAGTGGATCAGGAGGTGAGGAGAAGACGCTGGCGTTGGATAGGGCACACACTGAGAAAACAGGAGAACAGCATAACTAGAATGTCTTTGCATTGGAACCCACAGGGGCATAGGAATAAAGGAAGGCCAAAAAACACATGGAGAAGAGAGCTGGAGAATGAGGTTAGAAAGATTGGGAGGACATGGGGAGAGCTCCATGTAATGGCGAAGGATAGAACGACTTGGCGTGAGTTGGTTGAGGGCCTATGCTCCATTGGGGGATAAAAAGGCAGAAGAAGAAGAAATATGCCCAATACGTCTAAAAGCGTGGAAAAGGGACCTTTACTATATATGGCCAGTACACCTGAAGACATGGAAAAGGGACCTTTACTATATATGGCCAGTAGACCTGAAGACATGGAAAAAGGACCTTAACTATATATGGCCAGTACGCCTGAAGACATGGAAAAGGGACCTTTACTATATATGGCCAGTACGTCTGAAGACATGGAAAAGGGACCTTTACTATATATGGCCAGTACGCCTGAAGACATGGAAAAGGGACCTTTACTATATATGGCCAGTACACCTGAAGGCATGGAAAATAGACCTTTACAATATATGGCCAGTACACCCGAAGGCATGGAAAAGGGACCTTTACTATATATGGCCAGTACACCTGAAGGCATGGAAAAGGGACCTTTACTATATATGGCCAGTACGCCTGAAGACATGGAAAAGGGACCTTTACTTTTTTGTTTTTACTTTTTGGTTTAACACGAATAGACTCACTGCTTCTCCCAACATGCTTGTCATAAAAGATGGCTGATTAAGAGTTTGCAGGAAAGGATGTGTTGGGCATAAAGGTGCAGATATATCAGCCTAGCTGTAAACCGCAACTCAGCAAACCAACCTACCTGCTAAGATGAATATAGAAGAAGAAAAAAAGGAGAAGATTTATTAAAAGGGAAGAAAATGTTCATGTTTTATAGTTACTTTTGTTTGATATGTTTGCGGTTTGTGTGTGTGTATATCAGTAACAACATTCATTTTAAAACTGTTTCTTTTAGAAACAAAAGCAATTAAAAAATTGTATTTTTTTCAGCACCAATGGAACTCTCTTGAACTTATCTATCAAATTAACAAAAGGAGAGGTAGGCCTTCTTTGTTAAAGATGTTATCATCTGTAATAAACTCCTATCTTTGTTATTGTCTGTACTTGCCTGATGGGTTCCGGAGACAGTCAGCGTAGAATGACTGCCCCTTAGCAAGCCTGTGATAAAATGTGACCGAGGGTTTGATAAAATCAGATTTATTGTGCCAGAAGTTGCAACATGCCAGCCATTCTTTTAAAGGTGACCACAGAAAAAAGAAGCCTGTATTAGCATTCATTGCTTTATTTTGGTACAGAAAGGTTAACAGTTCGGCACACTGATGTGTTATATTCTCTAATGGTTGTATGCTGCACATCTCTCTCTCTCTCTCTCTCTCTCTCTCTCTCTCTCTCTCTCTGTGTCTCTCTCTCTCTCTCTCTCTCTCTGTGTGTCTCTCTCTCTCTGTCTCTCTCTCTGTCTCTCTCTCTCTCTCTCTCTCTCTCTCTCTCTCTCTCTCTATATATATATATATATATATATATATATATATATATATATATATATATATATATATATATATATATATATATATATATATATATATATATATATATATATGTGATTTTGTTGTTGTTGAAGTTTTTCCCCTCCAGATTTGCATTCTATAGGATTAACATCTCAAGGGTGAGAATCATGGAAACCTCAGTGAGCCATTTGGTATAGTTATATTGGGGCACCACTAAACCATAAGGAAGTCACCTGTAGTTCAGTGTGAGTGGGTTGTGTTGATTCTGTGCATGTCTGGATCTAGTACTTCGTCTCCTCCTCCTCCTCCTTCTTCCTCCTTCTTCTTCTTTTTCTTCTCCTCCTCCTTCTCCTGCTCCTCCTCCTCCTTCTTCTCCTCCTCCTTCTTCTCCTCCTCCTCCTTCTTCGCCTTCTTCTTCTCCTCCTCCTCCTTCTTCTCCTCCTTTTTGGCCTCTGTCTTCTCCTTTTCTGTCTCTGTCATCTTCTTCTTCTTCTTCTTCTTTAGTATTGTGTTACCTTTCAGTGTCAGGTTGGTTTTGAAGAGGCATTGGATGCTCGTATTTATACAACCTCTGCTATTCCATTTGTCTAAAGCTTGCGTGGTTGACCTCTGGGTCTGCTTCCATTCTGTCTAACTAAAAATTGTTTAAATGCAATATCACAAATATTAATTGTGCAGATTTTAATCTCTGTTCTTTTTTTAGTCCATTAGTGGTCAGTTGTAATGTTCCATACGTATCAGTCCGATTTCTCTTTTTATCGTTTCTTTGAATTAGGTTGTAATCCACTGCCAGATTACTGGGCCTGTTGCAGTTTAAGGGAGTATTTATATAGCTAGATCCCTTTTCACCTGGTGAGCCAGAGCTCCCGTTAGCCTGAGACCTTATGGCCTCTGTTTTTGGGTGCGCAGGCAGGGTTGGCTTAAGTGTAATGCAGGTCATTGGTAGGCTATTAATTTTTTTTTTTTTTTTTTCACCCTTTCATGGAAGAGCTAAGCAGCCTTGACACTGCTGGTTTGCAGTCCCCGGCGCTTGGACATACCCCATGCGCACTGATCAAGTATTCATACATCTAGTGACATCCAGATAACAGAACAGCTGGACAGTTTAGATCAATAAATTATTCAGAGCTTAGCTGTTCTGCTGTTTGGATGTCATTGTACTTGGTTTATTTATTCTAGAAAAGTGTTTTTTTTTCCTTTAGGTGGTGGAACAAAATTCCCTCCCCCTCTCCCCACCTTTTCCACACACAAAAAATATGATTAAAAAATGTATTAAATGTACATGTTGTCCTATTAGTTAGATTTTTAACGGTAGGGTAGATGCACAAATTGCTTATGAAAACAAAAATGCCCTTGCTGTTTCATTTTATTAATAGTTTACAAAATATTGTTATTCATAATTAAACTGAATTTTTTGTTTTGTTTAGTATAACATTCTTATAAGTGCACATGTATTCAATTTCAAAATTGCTGGGGGACCAACCCTGCCCCCTTTCATTGTGTTTGGGAGAAAAAAAGGGGGGGGGGGGGGGGGTGCAGGTTGAAAACTACAGCTATTGATGAACATCACAGAAAGACATGAAATTTAAAAATTTAAAATATTCATCATTTAATTTATTGGTTTGTGTGTGTGCGTGCGGGCGCACGTGCGCGCGGGCGCCTGAGCGTGTGCGTTTTAAGGGTAATTCCCCATTCATTACATTATTTTTTTAACCAGCTAGAATTGATTACTGACATGTGTCAGTTGGAGTAAATAATTGTTTACTGTTGGCACTTACGGATGTGTTTGTTGACAGTGCAGGGAGCTGCGACATGGTGATGAGATACACATTGTGCATAAGAAGGTGGATACCAGAGAGGGTAAATATATTATTTGTGGCTTGCATGTTTAGGTAAATACATCATTTGTGTCCTATATGTATGTGTATAGCATCATTTTTGTTTACACATTTGAGTAAGTGCAGTTGCTCTCATATTTGGGTAAATACATCATTTGTTGCTTGCAAGTGTGGGTTAATACATCTTTTGTTGCTTGCATGTTTGGGTAAATACATCATTTGTTGCTTGCATGTTTGGGTACATACATCATGTGTTGCTTGCATGTTTGGGTACATACATCATGTGTTGCTTGCATGTTTGGGTAAATACATCATGTGTTGCTTGCATGTTTGGGTACATACATCATGTGTTGCTTGCATGTTTGAGTACATACATCATGTGTTGCTTGCATGTTTGGGTACATACTTCATGTGTTGCTTGCATGTTTGGGTAGTCATGTTTTGCATGCATGTTTGGGTAAATACATCATGTGTTGCTTGCATGTTTAAGTATATACATCATGTGTTGCTTACATCATACTGTTAATCCTAAGTCCGTGGTCATATGTACAATGTTATATAATTTGTTCCTATTACTTGCAGATATTGGCTATATGTTCCAAAATATGGAAGCACTAATTGTTTTTGTTGCTCCTATTACTTGCAGATATTGGCTATATGTTCCAAAATATGGAGTTTCACTGATTGTTTTTGGTGCTCCTATTACTTGCAGATATTGGCTATATGTTCCAAGATATGGAAGCACTAATTGTTTTTGGTGCTCCTATTACTTGCAGATATTGGCTATATGTTCCAAAATATGGAGTTTCACTGATTGTTTTTGTTGCTCCTATAACATGCAGATATAGCCTATATGTTCCAAGATATGAAAGCACTAATTGTTTTTGTTGCTCCTATTACATGCAGATATAGCCTATATGTTCCAAGATATGGAAGCACTAATTGTTTTTGGTGCTCCTGTTACATGCAGATATTGGCTATATGTTCCAAGATATGGAAGCACTAATTGTTTTTGTTGCTCCTATTACTTGCAGATATTGGCTATATGTTCCAAGATATGGAAGCACTAATTGTTTTTGTTGCTCCTATTACTTGCAGATATTGGCTATATGTTCCAAGATATGGAAGCACTTCGGGCGGAGGCCAGCTCAGACTCTGAAGACTCTCAAGAGTGTACTCAGCTGATGGATGTGTTTGATGGCACAATATCAGGTGAGATGATCTTTCTACTGCTACTGTACTGGGCTCCATGCTAGGCACCTTGATGTCCTACCTAAATAAATTATGTTGATGCACAAGCAAATAGGAGAGCTGCCGTGGTCTAGCGTTTAGATGCTCGACTGTGGATCAGAAGGTCGTAGGTTCAGGTCCTGATAAGGGCCAGACTTTTTTCAAAAATGACCTTAGCTTCCAGGCGACCCAGCCTTGAGTGGGTACCAGGTACAGTCCTGGGAAGTGAATGCGGCCAATATGATGCTGACCACATCACTCACTGAGTGCCGTTTGGTCTGTAAAATAAATGTCTAGCCCTATATACCCAATATGCCTGAAGGCGTGGGAAAAGGGTGCTTTACTTTACAAGCAGATAGGCTCTTGTATTCATGGTACAGTGATGGCTGTGGAAGCTGCTGTTGTGTTTTTTTAACTGTATCTTCTACTAAATGTCCTCTTTAGTACAAACCTGTTCCTAGAAACATCTCATGGTGACCTGTTCTCATATTTTGCTATGGGTATGTCAGTGTGCCTGATGGTATATCTGGGTTTGGAGCAGTTTGGTGCACAGGCCACAGACCCATCAGTGGATGGCACATTCTCTAGCCTGCATCAACCCAAATCCCATTCATTGGTTAAATGTTTCCTATAAGCTAATGTCATTCAACTGCTTGTTGTTTTGTCTACTCCTCACTTGACTAAAATGATCCCTAAAAGACAATGTTAATGCTCAGGACTGTTCTGAAACCAGAAAGTGATCCTAGTGTCCTAGTGTTGGGGGAATTCCTGAGGGCATAGAAGGTGGGGCATAATGTGGTTTTAGTGAAAGAGAAGTTATGTCTGCCTCGTAGACCATGATACCTAATGTCACGGAACATTTGTCAAAACTGGTGCCTTAAATGAATGTGGGTTCAAATCCTCTACATGAGGAATTGAGACAGGAGCCCCTTGATTGATGATAGGTCACAGCAGAGTAGCTGGATAACAGAGACATCCTAAGAGTGGCTTGTGAAATAGACCAATCTGACTGAATATCCTCATTTTTCCAGTGAAATGAGCTAGTAAGTTCTTAGTTGCTTCTTGCAACATGCATGATACATTAACAGTGCTAGTATTCTTTGCAATAAAACATGGGATGGTGAGTTTTTATGTCTGTCTGGTTCACCATATTTCGGTCTGTTAAAAAAACCTTGGTTAGGAATGAGTTTAATGTGTTTTGTTGTGTGACAATCTTAAATTTGACCAATGGGGAAATAAACTATTTTGGTTTTTGTGTCTTTGCACAGATGAGAATGTCAACACAGTCACGACACCAAGTCCTCTCAGGAAAAGAGTAAGCTGATCATTTTCAGTGTACCATAAACATTGCATGTCCTGTCTGATACTGCATGTCCTGTCTGATACTGCATGTCCTGTCTGATACTGCATTTCCTGTCTGAAACGAGGGCCATTCCAAAATCAACTTCTAATTGGCTGGTAAAAATAAACCATTAACCGGAGCAACACCGTTCATTGCTTGCATCATTCCTTAAGCCTACTACATATCAACTTACAGTGGCATTTGTTCAGTGGTTCACAAATCGTGAAGGAGAAAACATGGATAATGTTATTGCCTTTCTTGCCAGCTGCAAAAACAACCATGGTGTGATCTGTTTTTTTTTCAAGCGGATATCAAAATGCCACCAAGATACATTGTCGATGGTGTCTTATGTATGGTGATAACTTTATGAATGTCCGGTCTGTGAGGGATCGATGCAGGAAATTCATAGATGTACTTTAAGATGTGCATGATGAGGGTGGACAAGGATGTCATTCATGTGTGACATAGCTCCTTTAAAATGTCAACCAAGTCGCAGCAGAAAAGAGCTGTTTCACAATTTCAGATCTTTCTACCTGATGTCACATGTTTCACCCGATGTCACATGTTCTACCTGATGTCACATGTTCTACCTGATGTCACGTTCTACCTGATGTCACATGTCTGACTTGATACTTAAAGTTTGATGCTGTGTGTCCTGACTGGTGCTGTGTGTGTCCTGACTGATGCTGAATATGTCCTGACTGGTGCTGTGTGTGTCCTGACTGGTGCTGTGTGTGTCCTGACTGATGCTGAATATGTCCTGACTGATGCTCTGTGTGTCCTGACTGATGCTGAATATGTCCTGACTGATGCTGTGTGTGTCCTGACTGGTGCTGTGTGTGTCCTGACTGATGCTGTGTGTGTCCTGACTGGTGCTGTGTGTGTCCTGACTGATGCTGAATATGTCCTGACTGGTGCTGTGTGTGTCCTGACTGATGCTGAATATGTCCTGACTGGTGCTGTGTGTGTCCTGACTGGTGCTGTGTGTGTCCTGACTGATGCTGTGTGTGTCCTGACTGGTGCTGTGTGTGTCCTGACTGATGCTGAATATGTCCTGACTGATGCTCTGTGTGTCCTGACTGATGCTGAATATGTCCTGACTGATGCTGTGTGTGTCCTGACTGGTGCTGTGTGTGTCCTGACTGGTGCTGTGTGTGTCATGACTGATGCTGAATATGTCCTGACTGATGCTCTGTGTGTCCTGACTGATGCTGAATATGTCCTGACTGATGCTGTGTGTGTCCTGACTGATGCTGTGTGTGTCCTGACTGATGCTGTGTGTCCTGACTGATGCTGTGTGTGTCCTGACTGGTGTTGTGTGTTTCTTGACTGATGCTGTGTGTGTCCTGACTGATGCTGTGTGTGTCCTGACTGATGCTGTGTGTCCTGACTGATGCTGTGTGTGTCCTGACTGATGCTGTGTGTCCTGACTGATGCTGTGTGTGTCCTGACTGATGCTGTGTGTCCTGACTGATGCTGTGTGTCCTGACTGATGCTGTGTGTCCTGACTGATGCTGTGTGTCCTGACTGATGCTGTGTGTCCTGACTGATGCTGTGTGTCCTGACTGATGCTGTGTGTCCTGACTGATGCTGTGTGTCCTGACTGATGCTGTGTGTGTCCTGACTGATGCTGTGTGTCCTGACTGATGCTGTGTGTCCTGACTGATGCTGTGTGTCCTGACTGATGCTGTGTGTCCTGACTGATGCTGTGTGTCCTGACTGATGCTGTGTGTCCTGACTGATGCTGTGTGTCCTGACTGATGCTGTGTGTGTCCTGACTGGTGTTGTGTGTTTCTTGACTGATGCTGTGTGTCCTGACTGATGCTGTGTGTGTCCTGACTGATGCTGTGTGTCCTGACTGATGCTGTGTGTGTCCTGACTGATGCTGTGTGTCCTGACTGATGCTGTGTGTGTCCTGACTGATGCTGTGTGTGTCCTGACTGATGCTGTGTGTGTCCTGACTGATGCTGTGTGTGTCCTGACTGATGCTGTGTGTGTCCTGACTGATGCTGTGTGTGTCCTGACTGATGATGTGTGTGTCCTGACTGATGATGTGTGTGTCCTGACTGATGCTTGTGTGTCCTGCCAACTACTGCATCTACTGCCTGCTGTGACAAGTCTTGCTTAACCTACATGTCTTGTCTGATGCTAGAAGTCTTGCCTGGTGCTGTTTTGTAATTGTCTGTTGTATATATAATATAGTGTATGATGCCATGTCCTTTTATAATTTAGAACTTTCTTGTCATCTATACAGAAATCTATGGAGATATCACCTGTTGTCAGTAAAAAAATTAAAGCGGATTCACATCCTAATGCAGCAGGTTTGTTTGTAGAAGGGTCGTTTCATAGATTATACAGTGCGAGCACTATGTGACGTCTAACGGCACACAAAGGATGATGATGATGATGATTTACTGTTATTGTAACACCTGACATCATCTTCTTCCTTTCAGCTCTCAATAAAGATTCAGCCCTAAAACAGCTCACATAAACTTGTTTGTAAACTTGTTCTTAATTGGGTAGATTTTATAGGTTGACTTCTATGGGTTGAGGTAATCAGTATCATGTCAACCCTCCTTAGTTTGCTCTTAGGACATGCAGAGTAGTTTCCAGTTACTTTTTTTTGTGTCTCTCATGGACTGTGATAACACAGTAATTTAATCAGATATTTTTGTAGCCTTGTCAAGAAAACATTTTATTATTTTGAATGTATTACAGTAATTTTATTATCAGCTACAATTTTCAGAGATGCATTTGGATGAAGGAAAAAAAAAGGGATGTGTCTTTGCTTGATACTTTCCACTTTTGAGAGTGATTTAAATGTGGTTGGGGAGTGGGGATTTTGAGCCTGAGGTTTTAAGGCTTCATAGCTAGTGAAGCTGCCATGATTTGTACAGGTTAGCATGTTTGTTTGAGTCCCAGACATAAAAACTTCCATGACTGTGTGAAGAATTTGAACCTGCGTCTCTTACATACTTTATAACTTTCAAAGCTATACTCTTGAACAGATAGCTTTTGTTAATAATCAGCTCAGAAAGCTGATCCTAACTTCCCTCCATTTAACCGCAAATATGGACCAAATATAGACTTGGGGGTAGATCTTGTGATAGATGTCTCTCAGCTGTGAACTACCTAGGGACACAATATCACACCACATGTCATGATTATATCACTTTATATCAGCCTGTAACCTAGTATATCTGCTCTTCGTAATGTTCACTCTTTTGACACTATTTGAATAACAGTGTCTATCTTTGGTATGTAGACTTTATTCTTTTACCTCAAGTTTTATTATATTACTAGATGTACCCGGCCACGCGTTGCTGTGGCATAGTTTGGCTAAATGGAAATGAAAGAAAATAGAAATCGCACGTGTCTAATACAATCATTGTCTGCTCAGATATAGAGATAGTCTTTGATCCCCACCCCACCACCCCCCCACCCCCAACTAAATCCACCTACTACCCTCCCCCTTATCAAATTTATGTCATTAACCCCCCCCCCCCCCCCCCCCCCCCCCCCCCCCCCCCCCCCCCCCCTCCCCTCTTCCACCGACTACTGCTTTCTCCCTCTTCGAAATATTTGAAAATCATTACCTGGCGATATTTTGTTGTTGCTGTAACTGACATTGACATCCCTGTCCATCTGGACTAAAATGGGGAGCAGGAATTGTAATAGGTAGTGAATGGGGCTAGTGTAATATTTACTACATCATCCTTCAAGTACCAGTACAACTACTAAAATAATGTCACTGCTATCTGTGTTACCATCGGATTAGACAGAGAGTCGTGAGCCAGAAGATTTGGTTCCGCATGGCTAGTGCTGTCGCCACAGACTGGTCAGGTTAGGATGTATAATTTCACTTGCCGACAGAAGAACGCCTTAACCTTACCGGCGGTCTTCACATGAGAGCACTATGGTGTAACAGCCCAACCACAACTATTACTACTGCTGCTACTTTAAGTGGGTAAAGCAGTTACTGTGACTTGAAGCTCTCTCAGTAAATAGTTTGCCCCCCCCCCCCCCCCCAAATTTCACTGACAACTCTTTCCCTCATTGAAGTAGTTGGGAGAAAAAAAAACACTTGAAAAGCAAATGAACACAGCCAAAAAAAACACACCATAATTAGGAAATGAACGCCATGGTAAACAGCACAGCTTAAAATTCCAACGCAAATGAAATAACTAAATCTAAATGAAAATAAATGAAAATCTATAAAAATTTCAGCGTAACCATGCAATCGGAAAGTTTAATAATGCAATCATAAGTATGCGAAATGGTCAAATTTAATTATCAAATGGTTTACCCATTTACTTGTCTTTTTTTTTTTTAAGGCAACATGGCTAGTGCTGTCACCACGACAGAGCAGATGAGGATATTATTTTAGTCCGGGGTAAAAAAAAAAATTAACTACTGCGGATTCGAACCCAGGTCTCCCGCACAGGAACCCAGTGTTCTAACCATTCGACCAAGCAGCCACTTAATCGGATAAAGGAAAAGAGAACTTAACAATTAGAGATGTGTGTCCCTACTTCTGTGTCCTGATTAAAACACAATTCAAAACCGCAGGCAATTGTTTTCTTGTAGACAGATACTCCAGATATGTTAATGAAACAGCACAACAATAGAAATCGCACGTGTCTAACACGGTTAAAGAAGTTAATGTCGCAGTCAATGTCTGCGCCAAAGTCGAGATAGTCCTTGATTCCCCCCCCATCGAAGGTTGTTTGAAAAAAAAAACAGAAAATAGAAATCGTGTTTAATATGGTTATTGTGGCAAATATAGAGATAGTCTTGTTTGCTGTACCTTGACCTACTCTATGTATTAGAGAAGGCGTTGGCTGCACGTAACTCGCCGGCGAATGGCGGAAGCCTTGCGTTCTGACTACGGCGGCGCATGCGCAATTACTAACGTGGCTATAATTAGAAATCACTAAAGTTATAAATATTAGTTGTGTATATTATTGCATAAATTGTGGTCACCTATCTCTAACAGTGACAGGTTGAATTTCAAACGACGACAGTTCAAAATCCGGTATCACAACAAACATATCCTGAAAATTTCAGCTAAATCGGTTCATTAGTTTCTGAGTCTATAGGGGTGAAACAAACACACAAACATTGATTTTTATATATATAGATTGCAATTGATATCACGGCACATTGGGCGTTCCAGTGCTTTGTCCTCCAATGCAGCAGTCACCCCAAGGTACCTCTGCTATGTTCCCATGAGTTTGGTAATAATGTCTCATATCTTTACCTTGAAGATGGCACCGATGTGCTTCACCAGACTTCACTCTGAGTTCATGCCGTCCTGTTCACATCAGACTTGCCTTACTATCTGCCAGTCTAATACATATAGTATTGATGATATCTCTTCAGTCTGTGCATTTTCCCACATGCAGTGGTGTAATAGTTGCCAGCTGGTCCACAGGCTTTTTCCCCCTCAAGTGTGCAAGCCATGGTGTACCAGACTGGTACCAAGGTAGCTTGGTGACTCATCAATGATAACTCTGGTCTCGGCAGTGACAGTGATGAACTATAGGCCGTTGATGTAATTTATGTTTGAGTAGCCTGTTGATATAAAGCTGTATTTTGAAAATGGTAGATGGAGTCTCTGAGAAGGAAGTGATTGGCAACAGTTTGATTCTGGTACCAAGGCATGTTGGTGTAAGAGGGAATGCACAAACATGCACTTGCTGATTGGGGCAACTGTGGAATGTGGATGAGCATGAACTAGACCAAGACACTAAATACCATCAGAAAGGCAAGGCAGCTTAAAGAATCAAGTGATGGCTGTGACTTGAACTTGACAACCTAGAACCAGACTGTAAGAATGGCAAGTGAACAGATGTGAAGTCAGACATGATGCTACATTTGGGTAGGGGGGGGGGGAGGGGGGTTATGGGCTGAGTAATTAAATGTTAAGGAAAGAATCTGAGCACTTATGGACTGAATAATTAAAAAGAGCACTGAAGATGGTCTATCAGCTAACTAACTGTTAGAGTTGCATTGTTGTGTATCTTTTAAAGATGTTGTTGACTAGTTTGATGACAAGTGAACCTCATGATGGTTTACTAAATGTTTGCCTATTTCCATGACCTAGTTGAGGCTACAAAAAAAGCTGGGCAGACGTCTGAGGTTAAGCTTCCTAGTCAAACCAACAAGTCACCAGCTACAACAGAACTTATGCAGGATCATTGTGAAGAATCTGGAAAGGCAAAAGCTAAAAGCTGTACACAAACAGCAGGAAAACCTCGGACACCTCAAGAACCAGAAGAAGATGCAATTGCTGAAACCCTTGTCTGTACAATATGTCAGGAGCTGTTGCATGATTGTATCAGGTATTTCCAGAGTTCACTGACTGTCATGTTCTGTTTATACTTGGTCATTATCTGTTGTTGCAGAAACTGAACAACCTCTAAACACATTCTCCAAGAATATCCAGCTCGTAATGATAACCTTTGTTATTTAACATGTAATGAACTACATTATCTAACACAGTGCTTTTATTAATAATGTTGCAAATTCACTCATGTTGCCAACCTATGTCCACTATTCTTTTTACACACAACAATTATTGAAAGAAAGTAATTTGATCTTGTAGTCACTTGTTTCCGATCCATTAATTAACTGTCCTATTCATTGTAGATTATTGTAGATAAATAGGAACAAATACAAATATTCAATTTGGCAATAATGTTTGAACACAGTTTGAAATTTAATATTATATTATCACACAAATATTTATGACAGTAACTACAGTAGTTCAAAGAAGCAAATAATCACAATCCCTAGCAATGTGACACAAGAACCTACAGAGTTTAACATTATCAGTATTTGCAAACACTGCCCTGATTACAAGGGCACTACAGCATGTCAGTTAAAAAAATACTACTGAGACATGAAATCTGACAATAAGACATTGTAGGCAAGACACACATGGGACTGTTGTTCAACTGTTAATGAGACTGGTGCATAAATTGCACACTTTTTGAGAGTAATGCCAGTTTTCACTTTGCAGTCTGCAACCATGTATGCATTCCTTCTGTGCTGGGTGCTATTCTGAATGGATGGAAAGATCCCAGGAGTGTCCTTCGGTGAGTGGTATAGATGTTTGTACTGTTGTAATAGGAGACATCAAATTTCTGTTTTCAATTTGCCTTTATGGGCAGTGATTTGTGGCCCACAGTTGTCTTAGTGTGTGCGGGGAAAATTGAGGAAAACTGGTTCATAAACAGCATGAAGTCTAAGAAACATATTCATTGATGGATGCAGTGGTTTGAAAAGAGAGGGCACGGTTCTTGAAAAAAAGGGTTAAGGGTTAATCATAAGGAAGGATGAAATAGGATTTTAAAAACACTTGGCATCAAAATTCATGATTGGGGATGATTGGCAAGGGGTTTAGAGGCTTTCAAGTGGGTTGTGATTGGACTTACTTTCAACAAAGGACCTGTTAGATGGTGATGATACTGATGTAGAGAGAGGTTCAAGTATTTGGTCTTGCACCTATTGTCGCTCGGACTGTGATGAATTTGTGTAAGGTAGCCCTCAGACTGTCCATCGGGTTCTTGGTCTTTCTCTAATTCGTTAGAGCTTCTTTGATTGTAGGCACACAGGTGAGGTTTCAGTCTCACAAAATGCAATGGCTGAGCCATTTCTTATTTCTATGTAAATTGGTCCCAAGACTATTAACTGTGATGTTTTCAATGTCATCATTGTTGATTTTGCCAATTCTGACAAAGAGCTTACTAATGCTGACCAGTGTTTGGGTCTAGTGTTTCAGTTTTTTGGTATTTTTCAAAGTCTACATTGTTAGGATTCATGGACGTCATGCCATTATTATTGCCAAGGATTTGTTTCCTAATTTTACACATTAACCTAACCTAATTGGGTGTTAGGACAATTTTTGGGTGTTCAATAAAGGTGACCACATGAGTCATCAAGGGCTGACTGACTAAGTAAAGGTGAGCACATAAGATATCTGGTGCTGACTGATTACGTAAAGGTGACCACATGAGTCATCAAGGGCTGACTGACTAAGTAAAGGTGACCACATAAGATATCTGGTGCTGACTGATTACATAAAGGTGACCACATAAGTCATCAGATGCTGATTAAATAAAGGTCACATTACTCATCAAGTGCTGACTTATTAAGTAAAGGTGTCTACATAAGTCATAAAATACTGACTGATTAAGTAAAGGTGACCACATCAGTCATCGGGTGCTGACTGATTAAATAAAGGTGACCACATCAGTCATAAAGTGCTGACTGTTTAAGTAAAGGTGACCACATCAGTCATCAAGTGCTGACTGTTTAAGTACAGGTGGCCACATCAGTCATCAAGTGCTGACTGATTAAATAAAGGTGACCACATCAGTCATCAAGTGCTGACTGTTTAAGTAAAGGTGACCACATCAGTCATCAAGTGCTGACTGTTTAAGTACAGGTGACCACATCAGTCATCAAGTGCTGACTGATTAAATAAAGGTGACCACATCAGTCATAAAGTGCTGACTGTTTAAGTTAAGGTGACCACATCAGTCATCAAGTGCTGACTGATTAAATAAAGGTGACCACATCAGTCATAAAGTGCTGACTGTTTAAGTAAAGGTGGCCACATCAGTCATCAAGTGCTGACTGATTAAATAAAGGTGACCACATCAGTCATAAAGTGCTGACTGTTTAAGTTAAGGTGGCCACATCAGTCATCAAGTGCTGACTGTTTAAGTAAAGGTGACCACATCAGTCATCAAGTGCTGACTGTTTAAGTTAAGGTGACCACATCAGTCATCAAGTGCTGACTGTTTAAGTTAAGGTGACAACATCAGTCATCAAGTGCTGACTGTTTAAGTTAAGGTGACCACATCAGTCATCAAGTGCTGACTGTTTAAGTAAAGGTGACCACATCAGTCATCAGGTGCTGACTGATTAAATAAAGGTGACCACATCAGTCATAAAGTGCTGACTGATTAAATAAAGGTGACCACATCAGTCATAAAGTGCTGACTGTTTAAGTAAAGGTGGCCACATCAGTCATCAAGTGCTCACTAAGTAAAGGTGATCACATCAGTCATCAAGTGCTCACTAAGTAAAGGTGATCACATCAGTCATCAAGCTCTCACTAAGTAAAGGTGATCACATCAGTCATCGAGCTCTCACTAAGTAAAGCTGATCACATCAGTCATCAAGCTCTCACTAAGTAAAGCTGATCACATCAGTCATCAAGCTCTCACTAAGTAAAGCTGATCACATCAGTCATCAAGCTCTCACTAAGTAAAGGTGATCACATCAGTCATCAAGCTCTCACTAAGTAAAGGCGATCACATCAGTCATCAAGCTCTCACTAAGTAAAGGTGATCACATCAGTCATCGAGCTCTCACTAATTAAAGGTGATCACATCAGTCATCAAGCTCTCACTAAGTAAAGGTGATCACATCAGTCATCAAGCTCTCACTAAGTAAAGGTGATCACATCAGTCATCAAGCTCTCACTAAGTAAAGGTGATCACATCAGTCATCAAGCTCTCACTAAGTAAAGGTGATCACATCAGTCATCAAGCTCTCACTAAGTAAAGGTGATCACATCAGTCATCAAGCTCTCACTAAGTAAAGGTGATCACATCAGTCATCAAGCTCTCACTAAGTAAAGGTGATCACATCAGTCATCAAGCTCTCACTAAGTAAAGGTGATCACATCAGTCATCAAGCTCTCACTAAGTAAAGATGACCTCATCACTCATTAAGTGCTCACTAAGGAAAGGTAACCGCATCACTCATTTGGTTCTGAGTGACCTATAGAAGTATGGGAGCTCTCATCGTAAATCTGAAACAGTTTAAATTTTACCTGCATAAATATTCTGTTATGGTTTTATAATGTTTGTACATTTATTTCCACAGTGTCGGCTGAAGGTGACTCGTATTAGCAAAAATCACATCGTCAACAACCTAGTGGAGGCCTACCTGAAGGGCAAACCTGGTAGGTCAATCACAAGCTATTATTTCACTGTGTCATGGGACAGGGACACACAGGACAGGGACACAGGACAGGGACACACAGGACAGGGACACACAGGACAGGGACACACATGACAGGGACACACAGGACAGGGACACACAGGACAGGGACACACATGACAGGGACACACATGACAGGGACATACATGACAGGGACACACAGGACAGGGACACACAGGTCATGGACACACAGGACAGGGACACACAGAACAGGGACACACAGGACAGGGACACACAGGTCATGGACACACATGACACACAGGACAGGGACACACAGGACACACAGGACAGGGACACATAGGACAGGGACACACAGGACAGGGACACACAGGACAGGACACACAGGACAGGACACACAGGACAGGGACACACAGGACAGGGACACACAGAACAGGGACACACAGAACAGGGACACACATGACAGGGACACAGGACAGGGTCACACAGGACAGGGACACACAGGACAGGGACACACAGGGACTCACAGGTCATGGACACACAGGACACACAGGACAGGGACACACAGGACAGGGACACACAGGACAGGGACACACAGGACAGGGACACACAGGACATACAAGACAGGGACACACAGGACAGGGACACACAGGACAGGGACACACAGGACAGGGACACACAGGACAGGGACACACAGGACATACAAGACAGGGACACACAGGACATACAAGACAGGGACACACAGGACAGGGACACACAGGACAGGGACACACAGGACACACAGGACAGGGACACACAGGACATACAAGACAGGGACACACAGGACAGGGACACACAGGACAGGGACACACAGGACAGGGACACACAGGACAGGGACACACAGGACATACAAGACAGGGACACACAGGACAGGGACACACAGGACAGGGACAGGGACACAGGACAGGGACACACAGCAACACATCATCTCCAGTTGCTTGCACCTCCACTGGCGTGCAGGTTACTTTGTAACCTTAAGGGTACCCTAAAATAACTGTTTTATACAGGTGAAAATTTGCTCAGATTGGCTCAGGTTTGATTCTCATCAACTGGGAGTTGATCCTGTGGACAGAAGTCCTGGAAGTAATTGCTATGGGCAGCACTCCTGGAAGGCAGGGTCGTCAAACGCACTGGCTCTTTGGGCACAAGAATAGGGGCCCCATGCTAATCTGTTTATTTGTTTAGTATTATCGACCATTTACGTTTCATTTCCGTGAGTGGTTGTTGAATGGGCCTCAGCACACTGATTTGCTCAGGAGTCCATAATACCATTTAGATAGTTGTGCTGGGTGGGAACAGTGGCCGACCAGCTGAACTAAATAATGTGAAAGTATAGGACCCTATCCTTCAGGGGTTAGCCCATATTTGTATAAAGCAACTGGCTGTTGATGGGTGATGCGGTCAATGTTATATCAGCCAGCTTACTCCCTCCGAGACCAGACCGCTACTCCCTCCGAGACCAGACAAGTGGAACACCTTGTACGGAGGAAAAGAACAGCTTGTGAAAACATGCAAATTCCACTACATGGCATTGGGCCAAAGGGCGAAAGCTCATGCGCCGCTGGATCGATAACAACAACAACAATATCAGCCAGCTTAACTTCCCACAACATTTTCTATTATCAGTTTCAGGCTGGCTTGACCTGGGAGACCAGGGTTGGTCTAAAAATCTGCCTCAAAGTGGATTTTTCTGTAGTAGAATGGTCCTGTTATATTTCTATTGTTGCTTTTTCTTGCTCATTGTTAAAGGCAGGTTTTACATTAAAGCCAACCTGCCTCAGCAGGGACAGTCAGTATCCACACCCTTCTCAGACTTTTGCTGGGGGAGAGCAAGCACTTAGGGGCCTGTCTTGAGTGTAGTAACCCTACCACCTCTCATCCTGTTGCAGCATGTATAATTATATTTACCTCTGAGTTTATCTATTTATGTAAATAAATGTGAAAGAAAAGGTAATGATATGACAATGTAAACAACAGACTTTCCTTTCAGACAAGAAGCGACTAGAAGCAGACATAAAAGAGCTTGACAGCAAGAACAAAATAACAAGAGATATGGTGAGATACATTGTTTGATTCTTGTTAATTCTATTTTTTAATCCCCTAATGGAACATAAGCTCTTAGTGATGTGGTTCTCATTAAACACACATAGGTCATGATGGACTGACCAGCAGTGGAAATCTCTGGCGAGGTTTTGACCAGAACCCAGTTGATGACATATCTGGGGGTAAGGTCTGTTCTTCATAGAACATGCTGACCACGTGAAACAGAAACTCACAAAGGCCTGTCAGCAATGAAGATTCTGGCAGCTGTTTCTTGTCCTGGGGCATGCTGTGACCTGACGTATATGTTCACAAGGCAGCTATTGGATTTATTGTAGAAATTGAAGCCTGACACTTTCATTGAGATCAGATATGAGAATCAGACTTACCATCAGTTCATACTGACTTACCATCAGTTCATACTGACTTTTGTAAAGCCAGTTACACATTACTGAGCCAAAATCAGTACAGTTTCCTACCAAAAACAGTTACAATGTTGTTGAAAGATGGATGCTTTCCACAGTTTTGTCATGGGCTAAAACAGCACACAAGATGCAGGGGACCAATGTAGATTATATAGTAATTTATTAAGGAAAAATATGCCTAGAAGGTCAAGCACTACTTTGGTTATTCCAAAGACTTCATCTTTCCGACTCCCTTCTTTGGCAGATAGTTTGCTACATGAACTCATTATATCTGAATTCTTAGTTTCACTCCTGCCCTAAATTGCTTTGTTTTAATGTCTTTGGACGAAAACACTAGCTGCTTCAAACTCAAACTTCTCAGACAGAAGTAGTTAAAGTAATCACAGACTGGTACTAACAGAGTTAATGTTATTGTAATGAGCAATTTCTGCCTCTGTAATGACAGCTGTATCCAGTGCAGAAACCTGGAGGAGATTCCAACAGTGGCTCATTCAGTGAGAGCTACACAGACAGTGATGATGATGCCGATGATTCATATACTATTGGTGCTGCTGCTGCTCCAGCCTTTGCCAATAACTTCAACAACTTCAATGCGGGAGGGTTATTGTTTGGTATAGGCACACCTTTCTATGGCACTGCAGCACTGAGGTGAGATTTCAGCTTTTATATGTTTTTTGTGTGTGTCCTTGACTGTAAGAAGACATAAAGACAAAAAATTTTAGGTAATCCTATTGCAGTTTGCAAAAATAAAAGTGTTCAAAGTACTTGAAGTTTGCAAATAAAAAAACTGGACAACTGAAAGAAGCATGGCAGAAATTTTTGATGTGAATGGTACTTTTTTCTTTAAGAATATTGGGTTTGTGTCTGTTGACAATGAAATAACTTCACCAGACTAGGACTTACTCCAGCCAGCCTGTACATGCTGTGCCGGATCATCAACTGCTGATATGCTTCTCTGCTGATGGGAAATTCTAGGTCTTGCCCACTTTGCTGGTCTGTTAGCTTGGAGAGGGGAATGAGAGCTAAGCAATAAAATGTGTGTGGAAATTATTAAATTTGTACTGGAACAGGAGGGAACTCACTAGACCAGCCTCACCCTCTTGTCAAGGCTCAGGTGACTTGAATGCTAAATCATCCGACTTTAAAGCCAAAACTCCAGACTGTTCACTAAACATCAGATTGCTAACTTTTTACTTTGTATCGTGCTGTTAAAATAATAATATGTTTTTCAGGTAATTTTATGTAGTTAAGGAAAAATGATTGGAGCCTGGAATTCAGTGATAGGAAACTAAATTCGACTGGATCCTCACAATGTTTGGTACAGGTAATAAAATGAGACTTTAGATCACACTAGCAACAAAGTTTTTTAGTTTGAGGTATTCGCCTTAAAAAGTAAAACTGTAAACATGAGCAACCTTCCATAAGGACATGAACAGCCTCCAACAAAGACATGGATTATGACCACCTTTTACAAAGACAAGGATGACCTTTCACATGTACACGAGAAAGTCTCCACAGGGACAAGGGCAACCTTTGACATTGACATAAAAAAGTCTCCCACATGGTGAAAGGACAACCTTTCAAATGGACACGAGAAAGTCTCCACATGGACAAGGGCAGTCTTTCACATGGACATGAGAAAGTCTCCCACATGGACAAGGGCAACCTTAAACATGGACATGAGAAAGTCTCCCACATGGACAAGGGCAACCTTAAACATGGACATGAGAAAGTCTCCCACATGGACAAGGTCAGTCTTTCACATGGACATGAGAAAGTCTCCCACATGGACAAGGGCAACCTTAAACATGGACATGAGAAAGTCTCCCACATGGACAAGGTCAGTCTTTCACATGGACATGAGAAAGTCTCCCACATGGACAAGGGCAACTTTAAACATGGACATGAGAAAATCTCCCACATGGACAGGGATTACCTTTCACATGGACATGAGAAAGTCTCCTACATGGACAAGGGCTGCTTTTAAAGTCTCCCACAGGAACAAGGGCAACCTTTAATTTGTCTCCCACATGGACTATGGCAACATTTCACATAGACATGAGAATGTCTCCCACAGGGACAAAGGCAATCTTTCATATAGACATGAGAATGTCTCCCACAGTGACAAGACAACCTTTCACATAGACATGAGAATGTCTCCCACAGGGACAAGGCAACTTTTCATATAGACAGGAGAATGTCTCCTACAGGGACAAGGGCAACCTTTCACATGGACATGAGAATGTCTCCCACAGTGACAAGACAACCTTTCACATAGACATGAGAATGTCTCCCACAGGGACAAGGCAACCTTTCATATAGACAGGAGAATGTCTCCTACAGGGACAAGGGCAACCTTTCACATGGACATGATAATGTTTCTCACCCTGTGGTATAGACAAGGGTTAGGTTTTGTTTATCATTCATCTTAGTGATTTAGTTGTGGTATGCCTGTTTAAAGCAAATCTGCAGTATCTCACCTTTTGGCTGACATATCGACTTCTTGAGCATTTGTTTTTTGAGTTAGCCTTTCAAGTTTGCTTTGTGGGACATTGTATAGCCTTACTTTTGTGGGAAGTCTTCATCTCCTCATTCAGTCTTATGCATCCTGATTGCTTTCCCCTTTCCCCCCAAGGGGAGAGAGGGCATCCCCCCATACATGGAAGCTTCCATAAATGCAGGAGCCGATGCATAGTGCTCCAGTGCTGGGCTCACCCAAGTGTATATCATGCCCTGAACATGGCTACTTTACAACACATCCCTACTGAGCTTCCCACTCATCACGGGTTGCACCCTTTAGTGATCCACAGGAAGCAGATTAGAGACTTTAGTGACCTTCACAAAATGAGAATTTTGATTCATCAGAACATTAGAATTGTCTTGTAGACAGTGACACCTTTCACATAGGGCACACAGAACATTAGAATCGTCTTGTAGACAGTGACACCTTTCACATAGGGCACACAGAACATTAGAATTGTCTTGTAGACAGTGACACCTTTCACATAGGGCACACAGAACATTAGAATTGTCTTGTAGACAGTGACACCTTTCACATAGGGCACACAGAACATTAGAATTGTCTTGTAGACAGTGACACCTTTCACATAGGGCACACAGAACATTAGAATCGTCTTGTAGACAGTGACACCTTTCACGTAGGGCACTCAGCCTGGCAGTATAGACAAAGCATACATCAGGCATGGCTACCTTGTTTGGTCATGATGCTCCGACTAGTCTGGCCAATGATAGTGAACATTTGACTCTTTTTTGTCATCAACTAGGATCTTCGCATGATGGACATCTGAATCTAAGCAGACATTTAGTATGACACTTAGTGGATGGGCCTTTGAACGGAAGTTGCTATTTAATAAATAATATTCTCAGTCGACTGGCATTTGAACCTAAATTTGTCATTTGGAAGAGAACTCGGTCAGATGACTACTCATTTTCTGAAATGTTTTTTGATGGACATTATTATCTATGCTTTAGTGACGGGTTGATATGTACACCAGCTCCGGGATCCCTTGCCAGCTCAAATAAGGGGGGTATTGGCCATTATCTGTAGTGCATGGTGTAGATGGTGTAGCAGAAGTCTTGCATGAGGTTCTGTAAAACCACCACAGAACCTGTTGACCCCTGAGGTGAGGTACAGGTTTTCCTTGGCACACAGCACTGCAGCTTCCACTTTTCTCATGCCTGTAATTGAAATCACTGCACTACAAGTTCAGTCTATAATGACACTGCCACATCTATGCATCATTTGTTTTATTTATTACATTGATAACACTAGTGTAGACATATGTCAGTGCCTAGTGACCATGGTTTTGTGTGCCTGGTTTTGGGAACAATGTCTGCTATGACTGTATAGTCCAGTGTGGCAGTCTCTGCCAGATAGTCCAGTTAAAAATGTTGATATCTTATGTTCTGAGGCTGGTTTTCTTTCAGACGTCTCTTCTCTATAGCTTGCTATGTTTGGTCTCTGGTCAACTGCAACAGTCTGTCTCCCTCCATGTAAGTCAGTCTGTGGCAGATCTCTTCCAAATATTTGTGTCAGTGTTGGTATATTTGAGGTCCATGTAGTGTAACCTCATTGTAATATTACTGCATTGAATCCTAGCATAGATGTATGTAAAGCCAAGACAGTAGAGAGACTAGTGGACAGTGAAAGAACTACTGATATTTTATTGTCAGAGAAATCACTTGAAAATACCAGCCCCTGTTTCTGTTGTTACAGTGAGATTATATATATATATATTGTTTTTTACTTTGACACTTTGAGAATGGTAACTGTATCTTCCTTCTGAATCATTGAAGTGAAATTTAAATTTCTTTTAATATATTTGAGTAAATTTCCTCATGAAAATATACAGCTGACAAACACGATTAACACAGTTGTTTGACTAGGGTCCTTTTTAAAGCTTGACATTGAATGTCTCTAGACCAGCACAAGCAGTGTGTAGACAGTGCAGGAGCTATGCAGGCAGACAAAACACCATGTTGGCAGGAGCTGTACAGCCGGAGGGTAAGCCATGGCGTATGATTGCTCATGATAGAATCAGTTGCACATGTTTGTGCATTATTGTTATAACCTGTAGGGTAGTGAAATTGTTTCACAATCCAGTCATCGATGACCATGGTTTGATTTCTGCAGCAGACGGTTTAGCAAAGACCATTTTTGAAGTTTTCAGACAGCAGTATGAGAATTGCACCATGGAAGAAAAAGGGCCTCTCAAATACCTGGCCAATGCACTGCAGCCAATCTCCATTGTGGAGACAGCAGACAGTAAAACAAAAAACAAAAAAATCATAACCTGTCAAGTAACTATGTCATCATTTAGCCAGTGCTTAGTAGAATGTCTCTCTCATCATGATCCAGCAGAAAGACCTGATCCTTCCCTAGCTCTCCTCTCTCATGTGTTTTTCATGGGTGAGCTCAGCCTCTTGTTCCAGGAACCAACGGCTTGACAAGAGTTAGGAAAAACAATTACATACCTCAGGATACAAGTGTACCTGGATACCAGTAGACAAGGATACCAGTAGACCAGGATACAAAGTCAGGCTTGTAGAATATGAGACAAAATCCAGGATGCTGGCTGGAGAGACAAGAACTCTCGGCGTTACCTGACAGTATCCCCATAACTTTTAGATGGATAAGGTCATGCTAACATTGCTGAAGGAGAAGTTCAGCAACGGGAAATTCCGGGCTGACACTTGCTGAAGGAGAAGCTCAGCAGCAGGCAGTTCCAGGCTAACACCTGCTGAAGGAGAAGTTCAGCAATGAGCAATTTTGGGCTAATACTTGCTGAAGGAGAAGTTCAGCAATGAGCAATTCTGGGCTAATACTTGCTGAAGGAGAAGTTCAGCAATGAGCAATTCTGGGCTAATACTTGCTGAAGGAGAATTTCAGCAATGAGCAATTCTGGGCTAATACTTGCTGAAGGAGAATTTCAGCAATGAGCAATTCTGGGCTAATACTTGCTGAAGGAGAATTTTAGCAACGGGCAATTCCAGGCTGACACTTGCAATTGTGGACGAGTATTTCAACAAAGCACATGGGTTATGCAGATGATATTGATATCCTTGGAGAAAATGTACTAGAGACTGTCAAAACACTGACTCTCTTAAATGAAGCAGCTCACAAAATGGGACTAGTTATCAATCGAGATAAGACAGAATACTTGGTAACAACAAGACAGGGAAAGGATATAAACTCTGGCCACATACAAGTCGATCATATGAAAATGGAACAAACAGAAATGTAAGCACTTGGGTGCAAACTTCAACTGCTCCAAAATGCTGAGAGAAGAAATACAACCTAGAATACAGTCTGTAAATACAGTAAACTATACCGTTCAACATCTGCTAAAGTCAGTCTCTGTCTCACAACACTAAGATCTCAAAATATATAAAATATTGATAAGACCAGTCATTTTATATGGCTCTGAAACTTGGAGCACAACTAAAAGAGATGAAGCCTTTATTACAAATTTATTTTCGAAAACAGAGTACGTTGAATCTTTAGACCCATCAAAGATGCAAACAGTAAAGAATGGAGTGTGAGAAGCAACAACAAAATTCATCATCTGTTTAAATCTCCATTAATCACTGGCATCATAAGAGCTAATAGACTGAAATTGCTGGGGCATATTGAGAGAATATCAGATGACAGAGAGGTAAAAACTATACGCACGGGATGTGAATGGTCGTAGACTACGAGGCAGACCAAGAAGATGATGGAGATATAATCTCTAGACAGACCTACGAACACTTAGTGTCATCAATTGGAAAGAGAAGGCCAACCAGAGATATGAATGGAGATGCGTCATATATGCAGCAGTGAATCTCAGTGGCTCGGAATGCTGAAGAAAAAGAGGAAGAAGAGTACCTTTTTTGAGGTAAAACTGTCAATGGACAGTATTATCCAGGTCTCCTTACAAAACTTAGAAAGGCTGTGACAAGATAATGAGGGATCGCCTGCACTCAGACTTTCTCTTTGCTTCAAGACAGCGCTCCTTCTCACAAAGCTGGGATGGGGCAGCTAACAGCCAACAATTTGAATATTGAAACTTCCTCACCAGCCATATTCACCTGATCTTCTTCTTCTTCTTCTTCGCGTTTACCAGCTGTAAACTCTGGCGGAAAGTTCTGGTTGTTCATCTACTTCTGGACTGCAGTCCTGTTCCAAAACCTGTGTGTTGCGTGTGCATCCGTTTTATAGATCTGACTCATTTGTGTGCAGACTGCTGGTTCCTTGCCTCAGGCAGATGCACTCCGACTTTGAAGGAAGCTCCCAATTAGTCGACTCTTACACCATGCTTTTGGGCAAGCAGTGGGTCTATTCTTGTTTTCCTTATAATAGGGCCCCGGAACCCACACGGGGATCACCAGATCTGATACCCTCAGATTTTTTCTTTTTCCAAACCTTAAATAAACCAATAAAAGTAATTCAGTTTGCCAGTGATGAAGAAGTCACACTGGCCTGTGAAAACTGGTTTAACTCAAAAATAGGGTATTCTATTTCCAAGGTCTTTTCGTCAAGCTAAGATGGCATAAATTTTTACATTTGGGAGGTGACTGTTGTGAGAAGGAATAAACACTGTAGCAAATTTCAGCTTTCTGTGTCATTTATAGTCAGGGTAATGACTTATAGATCATCCTTCTTAGCTGAGACAGTGGAGAGAGTCTTCTGATAAAACAGAGGATATATATTCTTGTGCCCTGTTCAGAATGAGTGTTCTTGTGCCCTGTTTAATCATGGTTGAGACAGTGGAGGCAGTCTTACCTGGGAGTTACTGATAAAACATAGGATATATATTCTTGTGCTTGTTTTTGGGCCATGTTCAGAATGGTTGTTTTTGTGCCATGTTCAGAATGGGTGTTCTGGTACCATGTTTAAAATTGGTGTTCTTGTGTCAGGTTCAGAAGGGATGTTATTGTGCCATATTCAGAAAGAATGTTCAAAATGGTGTTCTTGTGCCATGTTCAGAATGATTGTTCATGTACCATGTTCAAAATTTATGTTTTTGTGCCATGTTCAGAATGGGTGTTCAAAATGGTGTTCTTGTGCCAGGTTCAGCATTAGAATCTATGTAACATTCTGCCAGTCTGTTGTGTCTGTTTTTACAAATCTGTTTCATATATATTACACATGAAACTAGACCGTTTAATATACATTTGAAGTTGAAAAATACAGTTCTGATTTTTTAAATAATTGACTGGTCCATTCAAAAGTAACTTAAAAATCAAGACCTGTATTACTGAGGCTTACAGGAAAATTTAATATCAGCATGGCTTTATAAAAACTGTTTGGTTCACTGGAACATCCCCTCCCAGTGCTAATATATTCATATCCTGACCTCCTAAAGGGTTGTGCAGGTGTGAACTCAGCCAGTAACAGTAACTATGCGTTTTTTAAACTGTAGAGAGGTCAGAAAATCAACATTTCTGGGGAATAATCAGTTTTGCCACTTCACAGCTTCTCAGGGTGACAGGATTCTAGTGGAAACAGAGGGCCTTTTCTTCTTTTGGTGTGTAAACTTATTTATGTGCTGAAGATGACAAAATAATTAATAAATAGATTTGCTTCTGCAGCCGCAGCTGGAGACCCTGATGCCAAGAGTTTCCCGGTGGCACCAGCCTTCACCTGCCCCATCAATGGTAACCATGTGTTGTGCCTGTGTTGTATGCAGCCCATGCCAGACAGAAGGCATCCGTATGTTAATGGGGGAACCATACCTCCACAGCAGTGTACGTAGCTGTTTGTTGCTTGCCTGGTTGTTTAAGATAGTACTTTATAGCTACTGACATATGAATAACATGATGAGAACATCTGTTGAATAGTTCTGTACAAGTACACAATCATCATCAGTTTACCCCATCAAGGCTACTGCTACCTGAAGGTTTGATGACACCTGCGACTTCAAGAGTCGTGTGTTGCTAACCATACAAGGCAAAAAGCAGATGCCCTGTTCAGCCTCTAAAACAGTTACAATTGAGGCAGTTGTAAAGATTACACTAGCCTGATGGTGCTGCAGCCGTGTGTGCATACAGAGTTTTTATGTGACAAGTTCAGTTATTTCCATGATTGCGTAACATGATGCTGTACGCAGCAAGTGTTTAGTGCTGTCACATTGTTATTTATTTAAACACTTCTTTTTACCCTTTTTTCCCCATGGGCGTCTCTTAATGCAGCAAAGCCTGGCATATGATACCACAACATCTAGTTTGAGAATGGAGGTGGAGGCAGTCACTGCTGGCTTGAGAATAGCTTTACACACATGTTGTAATTGTAACCAACTCACAGAGCATGTTGAGAAAGGTGGAGACCAGTATGCTCTGTAAAGAGAGGCAAACATCATTTCAGAGGTCCCGGGTAGTTAGCATACTTTGGATAATTTAACCAGGAAATGCCGATGTATTAGGAAATGCCGATGTATTAGGAAATGACGATGTATTAGGAAATGACGATGTATTAGGAAATGCCGATGTATTAGGAAATGACAGCCAGATAGACTGGCTGGTTCTGCACAACTTTGTGGTGAATTGCTGCTTGACAAGCTGGACGTTTTAAGGGCCCTATTGGGGCGAGTAAACAGGGTGGAAGCACAGATGGATTATCATGGTCTGAAGAGAATGCTACTGCGAGGAGTGACCAGGGGATGTGGTCGATGATCAGCACTCAAGGAAAAGGTGAGATGGATATACAATCAGTCTGTTATCAGTTCCAATGGAATTGTAAATCTGCACTTGCTGTTGAAGATGGGTACGGAGCGCTTATGGGAATGTCCCCAGTGCTGTGATGTCGTTTCCTTATTAAACATTAAAAATATATATTCCCAAGCCTGCACACATGACTAATTGTGTATTCTAAGACCTTCAAATTTTTTCAGTTTGTGACCCTAACTTACTGGCTGTTGTCTAAAAATACCTATAAATGATGAAGAAAATAAAAATGTCACCCACTCTGAATGATACTATATAACTTCATAATAAACAGCTATGGAGACTAGAAACAGAAGTCAACAGGGTGGCCATAACATAACAAAGATTAAACAGCATTAAAAGTCTGTGGTTAAGCACGGAAATTAAAGTTAATATTTTAAATGTGCATCTTCTCTGTAGCAACAAACGGATGTAAGTCGTGGACTACCTCTCTGTCCTTCAGGAAGAAAATAGGTGCTTTTGAGCTGAAATGCTATAGAAAGATTCTCAGAAATCCATGTACAAATAAGAAAAGAAATACTGATATACTAAAAGATCTGAACATGAAGGAAGATTGGCTAATTAACAGCATCTTGTCTCAGAAGCAGAAATATTTTTGGCCATATCAAGTTTCACGGTGGATAAAAACAGATAATAGCAGAAGACGTACACGGAGGGGCAGGGCCGACCAGCACAAAGATGGGTGCAGGATATAAGTGACTCCTTGGATATGAAAGTGCGTGAGAGACCAAGTTCCTTTCAGGCAGACTGTGATGAGAGTGACGTTCTGCAAAAGAACTGCTACACGATGATGATGACCCCAGTTTGTCTAGGGCTTCGTGCAGGAGGTATTTCTTATCTTTGGCTACTCTGAGATATGACTTTTCTGTGTGCCTATCTGAAATAGTTGCTAGTGCAAATATATATTGCAAGCATACTATATGGGGTATCTCTTGTACATCACAGAATTACCCTCATGGCTTCATTTTGTGGCTGTAAGTTTATATTTTTTTAGTTTGTGCTGAGTTTTTTATGTTGTCACTTCCTTAGGTAATTGATCAGGTTTCATTTTCAAAAGAGCTCCAAACCACTTTATTTCTTATCTCTTGATAAAATTGAGTTTTGTTGGTATGCCTGTAACATTCTTGATGTTGTTTCAAATACTTCTCCTGGAGATCCTAGTAGCCTTGCTGAAACATGCCATACATCCAATGCCACACATGTAGTATTGTCTGGGGGTCTGGTGCGAAGTTGCTAGGGACCAAGTGTGACACCGAAATGTTATTTGTTCAGTGGAATTTTAGTGAAATTTAAAAATCTGTCCATTACAAAATTGTGGCTGGAGGGGGTCAAAAGATTTTTTACCCACATACCATATTCTCTATATAGAAATGTTATCGAATTTCTGTGTGTCATACATGAAAAGTCTAGATCCTGCAGCCTAGGAAATAAACTGTTGAAAATTCTGAACGCATTGCTGAGCTGACGTATTCACTGAATGCAGGTCTCTAGTTCAGTTTATTGTAGTGTTGACAGTTAATTGTCATATAGAAGCTTCAAATGTGTTGTACAGCGGAACGAATCCCTTGTCTCCTGCAGGCTTCCTGTGTCTTCGTTCATTCTGTCATGCTTACTGGGGTTGCCAAAAGGCTGATTGTCAAGGATGTCTAGCTGAGTTTCAAGGTAAGAATCTGAAGTCTACTTCTGTTTTCTTGAGTCTGCTTGTGCTCTTCGACCCACGTCTGTTTTTTTTTTAGCCTACTTTTATTCTCTGTCCACCTGTTTTCTTGAGTCTGCTTGTGCTCTTCGACCCACGTCTGTTTTTTTTTTTTTAGTCTACTTTTATTCTCTGTCCACCTGTTTTCTTGAGTCACAGAAGACTCAAAAAAAAAAAAAAAAAAAAAAAAAAAAATAAAAACAGGGGTAGGTAGGAGAATACAAGTAGACTAAAAAAAAAAAACAAAGGTGGGCAGGAGAATACAAGTAGACTCAAGAAAACAGATGTAGGCAGGAGAATACAAGTAGACTCAAGAAAACAGAGTTGGGCAGGAGAATACAAGTAGACTCAATAAAACAGATGTGGGTAGGAGAATACAAGTAGACTCAAGAAAAACAGATGTAGGCAGGAGAATACAAGTAGACTCAAGAAAACAGTGGTGGGCAGGAGAATACAAGTAGACTCAAGAAAACAGAGGTGAGCAGGCGAATACAAGTAGATTCAAGAAAACAGGTGGGCAGGAGAATACAAGTAGACTCAAGAAAACAGAGGTGGGCAGGAGAATACAAGTAGACTCAAGAAAACAGAGGTGGGCAGGAGAATACAAGTTAAAATTTAGTTGCGTATCCTTTACAGGACGTTGCAGAGCCAAACCCCAGCATTTTTTGGCTGTTGTGGTTTGTTTGTCTATGCAGTTTTACGTTCAGTAGTTTGCAAGTGCTTGCTGAATAGTCAGCTCTCGGTTCCGCTGTCGAAACCAACACAAGACAAATCCTCTGCAGCAGGGATCAAACCAGGCACCCTGGCATTATGAAGAGAAAACAAGTAGACTTTTTTGGAAAAAACAAGTAGACTAAAAGGAAACAGAGATGGGTAGGAGAATACAAGTAGACTCAAGAAAGCAGACGTAGGAAGGAGAATACAATTAGACTCAAGAAAGCAGACGTAGGAAGGAGAATACAAGTAGACTCAAGAAAGCAGACGTAGGAAGGAGAATACAATTAGACTCAAGAAAGCAGACGTAGGAAGGAGAATACAAGTAGACTCAAGAAAGCAGACGTAGGAAGGAGAATACAATTAGACTCAAGAAAGCAGACGTAGGAAGGAGAATACCTACTTGTTTTATTGATATAGCCTTAATCTCTTTTAGTAAACGTCTATAATGTTTGTGGTAAATAATCCTAGAGGGAAAATCTTTATCAGCTTTGAATCCAGAGTCAGGTAGAAAAGGATTCATTGTGTGCTTTTTTATATATTGATTTAACTGTGTAGTAATGCACCTGACAGGTAGAAAGATAGAGCACTGCTGGACAACATATGGTCTCTACAAAACTGCCCAGGCTTTGTGCTATGGAGAGGAGGAACTTCATCCCTGGCCTTAATCGGTCAAGGAAACAATTGTGGAAGACTTTTCTTGACACGGGCAGGTCTTGCTAGTCATACTCGCCATCGCCATGGACTGTGAGTCTCATGCCTCCTCATAGCGCAATATAACACTATCATCTGCAAAGACAGAAAGGTGCCAGTGAATGAGTGCACCTGACGAGATACAGAGAAATATGCCTGGCAATAAATTGTGCAGTGTATTGTTTGTGTCTGCATTTTTTAAACTTACACTGGGAAAACATTTTGAATTTCTTCTTTTTATTAGGCACTTGCCTCATTGGAGCATAGGCCCTCAACTAATTCGCATTTAGTTGTCCTATCCTATAGCATCAACTGCAGCTCACTGCAGGATCCAGCCCGTCATATTCATCCAATCTTTAATTCTCCTCAGGGAGTTTAAAAAAAAAATTCCCTAATTTATTTCTGGTGCAGGGACATTCTAGTTTTTGTACAATTTTCTGTTCACAGCCAGAAGCTTTTCCTCACCTCCTGGTTCACTGGAATTTGTTTAGTTCTCTCCCAAAGCTTCCCTTGAGTAATTCTCTCATGAAATTGGTCTGGGAATATTTGTAATCATGATTATTTCTGTTGAGCCTCCACCAGGAGCATAAGACCATCACTGTTGCTGTTTTAAATTCAGCTAGCCTGTTCATTGTTAACTTTAGTGGGGATCTGTTTCCTGTGATTATTTCCGTGTCCTTAATCACAGCATAATATACCCTGTGTGATTTATTTGTTCAGTCATTTATAATTGTGTTAGTAATTGTCATTTGTCATAGTATTAGTAATAGTCATGCAATACAATCGATTAATAGTTGTCATATTATTGCATTATCAAAAAAATGTGTTCATGCTGGCAAATTACGATGTAAATATTCTAGCAATACTATTGAAATTCAAATGTATTTCTCTTTGGCTAATTTACAGACTTAAACTTTGGAAAGCAATGCCTAACGTCACTTGTTCTGGACAACCATTATGAGTCTAAAGTTCTGACAGTAAGTAGCCCTAATTTCTGTGCTGTCTCTGGCAGTAAGTAGCCCTAATTTCTCTTCTGTCTCTGGCAGTGAGTAGCCATAATTTCTGTGCTGTCTCTGGCAGTGAGTAGCCTTAATTTCTGTGCTGTCTCTGGCAGTAAGTAGCCTTAATTTCTGTGCTGTCTCTGGCAGTATGTAGCCTTAATTTCTGTGCTGTATCTGGCAGTAAGTAGCCTTAATTTCTGTGCTGTATCTAGCAGTAAGTAGCTTTAATTTCTATGCTGTCTCTGGCAGGAATAGCCTTGTATTCTGTGCTTTCTCTGGCAGTAAGTAGCCTTGTCTTCTGTGCTATCTCTGACAGTAAGTAGCCTTGTATTCTGTGTTATCTCTGGCAGTAATAGCCTTGTATTCTGTGTTATCTCTGGCATAAATAGCCTTGTATTCTATGCTATCTCTGACAGTAATAGCTTTGTATTCTTTGCTATCTCTGACAGTAAGTAGCCTTGTATTTTGTGTTATCTCTGGCAGTAATAGCCTTGTATTCTGTGCTTTCTCTGACAGTAATAGCCTTGTATTCTGTGCTTTCTCTGACAGTAATAGCCTTGTATTCTGTGCTATCTCTGGCATAAATAGCCTTGTATTCTATGCTATCTCTGACAGTAATAGCTTTGTATTCTTTGCTATCTCTGACAGTAAGTAGCCTTGTATTTTGTGTTATCTCTGGCAGTAATAGCCTTGTATTCTGTGCTTTCTCTGACAGTAATAGCCTTGTATTCTGTGCTTTCTCTGACAGTAATAGCCTTGTATTCTGTGCTATCTCTGACAGTAATAGCTATGTATTCTGTGCTATCTGTGACAGTAATAGCTTTGTATTTTGTGCTATCTCTGGCAGTAAGTAGCCTTGTATTCTGTGTTATCTCTGGCAGTAATAGCCTTGTATTCTGTGCTTTCTCTGACAGTAATAGCCTTGTATTCTGTGCTATCTCTGACAGTAAAAGCTTTGTATTCTGTGCTATCTCTGACAGTAAGTAGCCTTTTTTTCTGTGTTATATCTGGCAGTAATAATCTTGTATTCTGTGCTATCTCTGACAGTAATAGCTTTGTATTCTGTGCTATCTCTGACAGTAATAGCTTTGTATTCTGTGCTATCTCTGACAGTAATAGCTTTGTATTCTGTGCTATCTCTGGCAGTAAGTAGCCTTGTATTCTGTGCTATCTCTGACAGTAATAGCCTTGAATTCTGTGCTTTCACTGACAGTAATAGCCTTGTATTCTGTGCTTTCTCTGACAGTAATAGCCTTGTATTATGTGCTATCTCTGACAGTAATAGCTTTGTATTCTGTGCTATCTCTGACAGTAAGTAGCCTTGTATTCTGTGTTATATCTGACAGTAATAGCCTTGTATTATGTGCTATCTCTGACAGTAATAGCTTTGTATTCTGTGCTATCTCTGACAGTAAGTAGCTTTGTATTCTGTGTTATATCTGGCAGTAAGTAGCTTTGTATTCTGTGTTATATCTGACAGTAAGTAGCCTTGTATTCTGTGTTATATCTGCAGTAATAGCCTTGTATTCTGTGTTATCTCTGGCAGTAATAGCCTTGTATTCTGTGTTATATCTGGCAGTAATAGCCTTGTATTCTGTGTTATCTCTGGCAGTAATAGCCTTGTATTCTATGCTATCTCTGACAGTAAGTAGCCTTGTATTCTATGCTATCTCTGACAGTAAGTAGCCTTGTATTCTATGCTATCTCTGACAGTAAGTAGCCTTGTATTCTGTGTTATATCTGACAGTAATAGCCTTGTATTATGTGCTATCTCTGACAGTAATAGCTTTGTATTCTGTGCTATCTCTGACAGTAAGTAGCTTTGTATTCTGTGTTATATCTGACAGTAAGTAGCCTTGTATTCTGTGTTATATCTGGCAGTAATAGCCTTGTATTCTGTGTTATCTCTGGCAGTAATAGCCTTGTATTCTGTGTTATCTCTGACAGTAATAGCTTTGTATTCTGTGTTATATCTGACAGTAAGTAGCCTTGTATTCTGTGTTATATCTGGCAGTAAGTAGCCTTGTATTCTGTGTTATATCTGACAGTAATAGCTTTGTATTCTGTGTTATCTCTGACAGTAAGTAGCCTTGTATTCTGTGTTATCTCTGGCAGTAATAGCCTTGTATTCTATGCTATCTCTGACAGTAAGTAGCCTTGTATTCTATGCTATCTCTGACAGTAAGTAGCCTTGTATTCTATGCTATCTCTGACAGTAAGTAGCCTTGTATTCTGTGTTATATCTGACAGTAATAGCCTTGTATTATGTGCTATCTCTGACAGTAATAGCTTTGTATTCTGTGCTATCTCTGACAGTAAGTAGCTTTGTATTCTGTATTATATCTGACAGTAAGTAGCCTTGTATTCTGTGTTATATCTGGCAGTAATAGCCTTGTATTCTGTGTTATCTCTGGCAGTAATAGCCTTGTATTCTGTGTTATTCTGTGTTATCTCTGGCAGTAATAGCTTGTATTCTGTGTTATATCTGGCAGTAAGTAGCCTTGTATTCTGTTGTATCTGACAGTAAGTAGCCTTGTCTGTGTTATATCCTTGATTCTGTGTTATATCTGAAGTAATAGCCTTGTATTCTGTGTTATATCTGACAGTAAGTAGCCTTGTATTCTGTGTTATATCTGACAGTAAGTAGCTTTGTATTCTGTGTTATATCTGGCAGTAAGTAGCCTTGTATTCTGTGTTATATCTGACAGTAAGTAGCCTTGTATTCTGTGTTATATCTGACAGTAAGTAGCCTTGTATTCTGTGTTATATCTGACAGTAATAGCCTTGTATTCTGTGTTATATCTGACAGTAAGTAGCCTTGTATTCTGTGTTATATCTGACAGTAAGTAGCTTTGTATTCTGTGTTATATCTGACAGTAAGTAGCTTTGTATTCTGTGTTATATCTGGCAGTAAGTAGCTTTGTATTCTGTGTTATATCTGACAGTAAGTAGCCTTGTATTCTGTGTTATTCTGTGTTATATCTGACAGTAAGTAGCCTTGTATTCTGTGTTATATCTGACAGTAATAGCTTTGTATTCTGTGTTATATCTGACAGTAAGTAGCTTTGTATTCTGTGTTATATCTGACAGTAAGTAGCCTTGTATTCTGTGTTATATCTGACAGTAATAGCTTTGTATATATCTGACAGTAAGTAGCCTTGTATTCTGTGTTATATCTGGCAGTAATAGCCTTGTATTCTGTGTTATATCTGACAGTAATAGCTTTGTATTCTGTGTTATCTCTGACAGTAAGTAGCTTTGTATTCTGTGTTATATCTGACAGTAAGTAGCTTTGTATTCTGTGTTATATCTGGCAGTAAGTAGCTTTGTATTCTGTGTTATATCTGACAGTAAGTAGCCTTGTATTCTGTGTTATATCTGACAGTAAGTAGCCTTGTATTCTGTGTTATATCTGACAGTAAGTAGCCTTGTATTCTGTGTTATATCTGACAGTAAGTAGCCTTGTATTCTGTGTTATATCTGACAGTAAGTAGCCTTGTATTCTGTGTTATATCTGACTGACAGTAATAGCTTGTATTCTGTGTTATATCTGACAGTAAGTAGCTTCTGTGTTATATATCTGACAGTAATAGCCTTGTAGCTGACAGTAATAGTATTCTGTGTTATATCTGACAGTAAGTAGCTTTGTATTCTGTGTTATATCTGACAGTAAGTAGCCTTGTATTCTGTGTTATATCTGACAGTAAGTAGCCTTGTATTCTGTGTTATATCTGACAGTAAGTAGCCTTGTATTCTGTGTTATATCTGACAGTAATAGCCTTGTATTCTGTGTTATATCTGACAGTAAGCCTTATTCTGTGCTTAAGTAGCCTTGTATTCTGTGTTATCTCTGACAGTAAGTAGCCTTGTATTCTGTGTTATATCTGACAGTAAGTAGCCTTGTATTCTGTGTTATATCTGACAGTAATAGCTTTGTATTCTGTGTTATCTCTGGCAGTAATAGCTTTGTATTCTGTGTTATATCTGGCAGTAAGTAGCCTTGTATTCTGTGTTATATCTGACAGTAAGTAGCCTTGTATTCTGTGTTATATCTGGCAGTAATAGCTTTGTATTCTGTGTTATCTCTGGCAGTAATAGCCTTGTATTCTGTGTTATCTCTGGCAGTAATAGCCTTGTATTCTGTGTTATCTCTGGCAGTAATAGCTTTGTATTCTGTGTTATATCTGGCAGTAAGTAGCCTTGTATTCTGTGTTATATCTGACAGTAATAGCTTTGTATTCTGTGTTATCTCTGACAGTAAGTAGCCTTGTATTCTGTGTTATATCTGGCAGTAAGTAGCCTTGTATTCTGTGTTATCTCTGACAGTAAGTAGCCTTGTATTCTGTGTTATCTCTGACAGTAAGTAGCCTTGTATTCTGTGTTATATCTGGCAGTAAGTAGCCTTGTATTCTGTGTTATATCTGGCAGTAAGTAGCCTTGTATTCTGTGTTATCTCTGACAGTAAGTAGCCTTGTATTCTGTGTTATATCTGACAGTAAGTAGCCTTGTATTCTGTGTTATATCTGACAGTAAGTAGCCTTGTATTCTGTGCTATCTCTGACAGTAAGTAGCCTTGTATTCTGTGCTATCTCTGACAGTAATAGCTTTGTATTCTGTGTTATATCTGGCAGTAATAGCCATGTATTCTGTGTTATCTCTGACAGTAATAGCTTTGTATTCTGTGTTATATCTGACAGTAAGTAGCCTTGTATTCTGTGCTATCTCTGACAGTAAGTAGCCTTGTATTCTGTGCTATCTCTGACAGTAATAGCTTTGTATTCTGTGTTATATCTGGCAGCAATAGCCATGTATTCTGTGTTATCTCTGACAGTAATAGCTTTGTATTCTGTGTTATATCTGGCAGTAAGTAGCCTTGTATTCTGTGTTATATCTGGCAGTAATAGCTTTGTATTCTGTGTTATATCTGGCAGTAAGTAGCCTTGTATTCTGTGTTATATCTGACAGTAATAGCCTTGTATTCTGTGTTATATCTGGCAGTAATAGCCTTGTATTCTGTGTTATATCTGGCAGTAAGTAGCCTTGTATTCTGTGTTATATCTGGCAGTAAGTAGCCTTGTATTCTGTGTTATATCTGACAGTAAGTAGCCTTGTATTCTGTGTTATATCTGGCAGTAATAGCTTTGTATTCTGTGTTATATCTGACAGTAAGTAGCCTTGTATTCTGTGTTATATCTGACAGTAATAGCCTTGTATTCTGTGTTATCTCTGGCAGTAATAGCTTTGTATTCTGTGTTATATCTGGCAGTAAGTAGCCTTGTATTCTGTGTTATATCTGGCAGTAAGTAGCCTTGTATTCTGTGTTATATCTGGCAGTAAGTAGCCTTGTATTCTGTGTTATATCTGGCAGTAAGTAGCCTTGTATTCTGTGTTATATCTGACAGTAATAGCTTTGTATTCTGTGTTATATCTGGCAGTAATAGCCTTGTATTCTGTGTTATATCTGACAGTAAGTAGCCTTGTATTCTGTGTTATATCTGGCAGTAATAGCCTTGTATTCTGTGTTATATCTGGCAGTAATAGCCTTGTATTCTGTGTTATATCTGGCAGTAATAGCCTTGTATTCTGTGTTATATCTGGCAGTAATAGCCTTGTATTCTGTGTTATATCTGACAGTAAGTAGCCTTGTATTCTGTGTTATATCTGGCAGTAATAGCCTTGTATTCTGTGTTATATCTGGCAGTAATAGCCTTGTATTCTGTGTTATATCTGACAGTAAGTAGCCTTGTATTCTGTGTTATCTCTGACAGTAATAGCCTTGTATTTTGTGTTATATCTGACAGTAAGTAGCCTTGTATTCTGTGTTATATCTGGCAGTAATAGCCATGTATTCTGTGCTATCTCTGGCTCTGTGTGTGTGTGTGTGTGTGTGTGTGGTAGGTGCATGCACGCGTGCATTTAGACACACAAACTCACGAGGCTGTGCATATAGAATTAAGTAAAAGACTAAGTCAGTGTGCAGGACATATTCATTTTATGATCATATTGTTTTTTCCCTCTAGGACTACATCACAAGTCTTGGGATGTCAGTGAAAGATCTTTTTAAGGAGTGTTTGCACAAAGTCCACACAGGCGGTTACACATTTTCTAGTAAGCTATGAACATGAGTTGACTCGGGGTTGTGGGGAATTGTGGGGGATGGGGAGGGTGGAAAGGGGGGGGGGGGTGGAAAGGGGGGGGGGGGCTATCAAATATGAACACTTCCAGCTCATATGCCAGATTAAAGATCAAATCTTCAAAACTTCTAAAACCTTTCCTTTGTTGTTGTTACTTGCCTGTAAGTATAAATCTAAATTCTTGTTTAAACTATTGTGTATGACATGCAGACGATAGCCCTATAAATATTTTAAAAGTTTAATCAACTAACACTATTGTTGTAAGCAAAATTCATCAGTCATTTGTTAAAAAGAGTTTAAGACACACATACAGTTTATATCATCAGTGAGAAGCCATCTCCACAATGAAAGCTGGCTACAAGGGATCAAAACTTTCTGACTGTTGCCCTGGCTGTACACTCTGTCATTCTGCTGTTGTCACTGTCTGTTGCCCTGGCTGTAAACTCTGTCATTCTGCTGTTGTCACTGTCTATTGCCCTGGCTGTAAACTCTGTCAGACTGCTTTTCTCCCTGTCTGTTGTCCTGGCTGTACACTCTGTCATTCTGCTGTTCAGTGTCTGTTGCCCTGGCTGTGTACACTCTGTCAGACTGCTTTTCTCCCTGTCTGTTGTCTTGGCTGTACACTCTTTCATTCTGCTATTGTCAGTGTCTGTTGCCCTGGCTGTAAACTCTGTCAGACTGCTGTTCTCCCTGTCTGTTGCCCTGGCTGTAAACTCTGTCAGACTGCTGTTCTCCCTGTCTGTTGCCCTGGCTGTACACTCTGTCAGACTGCTGTTCTCCCTGTCTGTTGTCCTGGCTGTACACTCTGTCAGACTGCTATTGTCCCTGTCTGTTGTCCTGGCTGTACACTCTGTCAGACTGCTATTCTCTCTGTCAGTTGTCCTGGCTGTACACTCTGTCATTCTGCAGTCCACACACTGGTAGCAGCTGGTAATATTTATGGATAAAGAAATAGTGGTGAGCAGAGAGAAGATTTGTGGCCCAAGTTTCATGACATGGAAGAAAACAATCATATGAATTGATACGCTGCTGAATAACATGTGCTGCGGAGAAACCTGATTGATGACACCAGCAAGCAAGGAACTTGCTGAGTTTTATAATGTTAGAAACATTGCAGGCTTTAGATATTTCTGGCCCTTGCTTGTGTTGTGAAGCAGTAGAAGATGTTAAAGAATTCATTTACCTCACAAGTACGTACTCAAGATGTGGATTCAGAAAAGGATGTAATAACAAGAATACGTAAGGCGAACCAAGCATTTACCATACCTAATAACAACAGCATATGGAAGTCAAAGGGACTGAAGACAACTATTACACAAGAGCAACATTTTTGGAATACTGTTTTAAACAAATGATTGTTAAAGGACAGCAGGAATTGCACATAAACTAGAGATTTTTCAAAATAAATGTTTCAGGAGAATTTTGCAAATATTTTGGCTAAACAAGATTATAAAAATGAAGATCTGAGGGTGAAAACAAATCGCTGGCAAATGTTATCAAATAAAGACAACAGAGATGGCATGGACATTGTTGCAGAATATCTCATGCAACTTGGCAAGGACAGTCCTCCGATGGATCAACATCAAAAAGGAAGAGAAGTGAAAGTCAGCCCCCGATGGGGGATGTAATCAACATAAAAAAGGAAGAGAATGAAACCAGCAGACCCCGATGATGGATGTGATCAACATCAAAATGGAAGAGAAATGAAACAAACATATTTATACATGCTATGTCTATATTTGATGAAAGAATTGCTGAATATTCATACCGACTGGATTAAGAATGCTTAAATTATGAATGAGATGAATTTGCAAGGAAAAACATGTGATGTAACACAATAGGCAATACTTTTTGGCAGCCACAGAAATATCAGTTTCATCCACATGGTAACTGACATTAAAAGATGAAGGGGTAACAGTTGCTTGGGGCTACAACTGAAAATTACTGGTGACTGCTAGCACAGATAAAACAATAACACTTCACTAAAAGTCTCTGGTAGAAATATTGGTTTAGGTAAAACAGTTTGAGAAGAATCATAAAAGTGTGTTACATTATGAAATGTTAGTGTTTTACAATGTTTAAAACCTGAGTGTTCATGTTCAGACCAGGCCAGACTGACTTCAATGCATGGGTTCAACACTCCTGTGTGCTATGGTTGTGGATTTCAAGCATTCAAAGAGCTGGCATATTATTATAGAAAAGACATTCCTGCTGAAAGTTTACCTAGTAAGTATTTGCTAGATGAGGGCTATTCAACTAGCGGCCCACAGGCTACATTTGGCCCGTGGAGTCGTAGCAAGTGGCCTGCGGATTGTCACCAGATATATTGTATTCATGATTTTTCTATGCTGGGGCTTGGACTTCTGGCCCATGGCAACCCCCATTTTAAGAAGTGTGGCCCCAGAGTCAACTTAGTTGAATAGCCATGTGATAGATGTTTCTCCATCTTTAGCAGTTTATTTGTCCTGTAGAGCAGATGACAGCCAGTTCATGTCAAGTCTTTCTGCCCTTTGCTAACATCTGATGTCTTTATGACGTTGCACCAGTTGTCATCTTGTCCATATGTGACCTTACCCATTTGTGACTTTGCCCATATGTGACCAGAGCTGAGAAGGGAAGCCAAAATAGACACTAATCCACCATGTGTGTCATAAAAGGCAGCTAAGAAGGGTGGGTGTGAGACTGATTCCTCATTCCCTAGAAGACTGTAGCCATAGAATCTCACATAGAATCAGCTGTATTGACTCAAGTTCAAACTGAACAACTAGAGTGGCTCATTCTTTAGCATCATCTTACAACCTGAACATTCTTCTTCTTCTGCCTTTCCAACCCCCAGTGGGGCATAGGCCCTCAACCAACTCATGCCATGTCATTCTATCCTTCGCTATCACATGCAGGTCCCCCGCTGTCCTTTCCATCCTCACTTTACTCTCTATCTCCCTTCTCCATTTTTTTTTCATCTTCCTCTGTTTCTATGCCCCTGTGGATTCCAGTGAAAGACATTCTAGTTAAATTGTTCTCAGATTTTCTCAACATGTGTCCTATGCAACGCCAGCATCTTTTCTTAATCTCTTGGTCCACTGGAACTTGTTTAGTTCTCTCCCAAAGCTCTACATTTGTGATTCTATTACACCATTTAATTCCCTCTTTTCAATGCAGGCAGCAATTAATGAATGTTTGTAGTTTATTAGTATATATCTCAGAAGATTTCCAGTAGTTTTATAGACACACAAGAAGTTGACCATGGTACTAAAGACTGAACAAATATGTCGATCTTGAGCTTGAGACACAGATGGGGACCAGACAAAGCATTGACTTCTTTCTATAGCTTTGAACAATCATACGGCAGTAGGTTGTATATCATTGTATGTCAGTGTTTGTAGAGATGGTGTGGACAGATAAGAGCAGTAATCAACAGTGTTCAAGTTAGTGGTCTTTCACATGCATTTATAGTTTACTTTCTGCTTTCCTCTCACATTATCAGGAAACTCCAGAGTTTAGATTTTATGAATATTGAATTGACTGGCCTTTTGCTGCAATAAATGAATAGATGACAGTTTTTCATTTCTACAACTGATAAATATTTATATTCACATTTCAGAGGAAGTCACTTCTAGACCCAACTGTTACTGGGGCAAGAATTGCCGAACCCAGAAGAACAAACCAGAACATGCAGTGTAAGTGCAAAGGTTTCACACTGTAGCCTGGTAATAGTTATGTAAAATGTAGACGTTACCTATATCATGATACCACTTTCATTTACACGAGAGATGTAGCAGTTTGATACCTTCAGCAACTAGAACATGCCTTGAACACATCTTGAAGTAGATGGTTGCAGCATTCATTTCTTTCTCAGTCTGCTTTAAAAAAAATGTTAGTTCCTCTGGGTATGTTTGTGTTCTTGTGTATCTTCATTATATTTTATAAGTTAGTGTGTGTATGTGTGTGTGTGTGCGTGCATGCATGTGTGTGTGTGTATGTGTGTGTGTGTATATATATATATATGAAAGTGTTCTAGTGTATCTTCACAAAATGAAGCACAAAACTGTTGGATTTATTTAATTTTGTGCTTCATTTTATGTTGATGTAACTCTGTTGTAGCGCACCCGACGAGATACAGAGAAGTATGCTTGGCAATAAATTGAGCAATGTAATATTTGTGTCCGCATTAGTTGATACCCACATGGAGAGCATGAATGTTGAAGACTTGAGAGAGATGGCTTTTCACTTCAACCAGAGCATCAGAACAGCTTCAGTACCCCAGGATTGGGTACACAGCTACTTAATCCTACTTCCATAACCAGGCAAAGAGCATTCCAGACTCAGCAGTTTAAGGATTATCACCCTGCAAAATACTTTGGCAAATTGTTTGGATAGTTACTGGCCATGGAAAGATACCTGGCCAAATGCAGCTACTTTTACTTTTGATGTTTATGAGAGGTTCCAGAACTGACAGGAGATGGTTTTGGCAGCACTAGATCATGAGGATGCCTACAGTAGAGTCAGATATGATATTCTGATATCTGATCTCATGCAGAAGGGGGTTTGTACCTGACTGGTAATCGCACTAGCAGCTGTCCTGCATTCACATATGGTTCCCCTTTGCCTAGGTACATGGACTTCAGAACCATGTAACATTGCCCTGAGACCACCCCAGGGTTCTGCCATTTCACCAGTACTCTTCCATGTGTATACAAGCAGGATTGCAGAATTTGAAGCACCAGGTGTTGGAAGGATATTGACATTTGCAGATGATCTTGCATATATAGGCATGGGAGCAATAGACAACAGTCTACAATTAATGACAGAAACATCAAAAGAGAAAGCAAACTGAGTACTTGGGTATCATTTTCGATAGAAGCCTGTCCTTCAGGCATCATGTGGATGCAGTTGTGGTTAAATGCCAGAAAGGATTCAGTGCTGTAAAGATTATGGCAACAATGGAAGTGGAACAAAGAATGCTGTTCACGCTGTTTCAGCATTGATAGAATATAGACTTGAAATGCTTACAATATCAAAGAATCAGCTGATGAAACTTGAACGCACACAGAATGAAGCCATGTGGGTAATTCTTGGATGTACTAGAGTTAGCCCGGTAGTATGTATGCTGTGATGCTTGCACTGCCTACTATTTCAGAAAGGCTCAAAGTTCTGCAAGCAATGTCAAATCTCAGAATCGCTGCAGACAAGAAGTACCTCCTGCATAGAGTCCTTAGTAGAGCTAAGGGTCACAGACTGAAAAGAGGAAGGTTTCGGATGAGCCAAGCTGAAGACACAATTAGACTTGTGTACAGACTTGATAAATTGCTAAATTTGGGTGAGGAGGGGAGTGGGTCAAAATGTCAGATCAGTTCTGATTGTGTCTGGTTTCCATTTCCATAACATACTTAACCATCAGTTCTGATTGTGTCTGGTTTCTATTTCCATTACATACTTAAACATCAGTTCTGATTGTGTCTGGTTTCTATTTCCATTACATACATAAACATCAGTTCTGATTGTGTCTGGTTTCTATTTCCATTACATACTTAAACATCAGTTCTGATTGTGTCTGGTTTTTGTTTTTATTGCAGACGTTATAATCACATCTGTGACCAGTCCAGAACCATGTAGGGAGGAATCTGGGAACTCATTCATAGCCTGGAGATTCAGCGCAAGAAGCTGGTCTGTGATGCTCCATCAGCCACGGGCCTGACAGTTGTCTTGTACCCCTCCCCTCCTCTTAGAAACGAAATAATGACAACACTAAGCTCATGGGCATGCATGCACACATGCACATGTGCACTCACAGGCATGCATGCATATATACACACATGCATGTGCACTTACACACACACACACAAATGCATACTTACAAACATACTCATTCGTACCTATAAATACCCATACCTATCCTGTCACACATACCCACACTCAAGCATGTGGGTGGGTGAGTGTGGGTAGATCTATATTTATGCAATCATGCATACATACATACATGCAAGCCACCATGGTTAGTTGCTCATCGGCAAACCTGAAGGTTGTGGGTTCAAATCCATATAGATTGGGATTTAAAAAGAAAATTCAACCTTAGCTCCCAGGTCAACCCAACCTTAAAATGAGACAAGTTCCAAATTCTGGGAAGTAAAGGCGGCTGGTCTCAGGTTGATCACATCACCCACCGAGGGCCAGTTGTTCTATAAAACATAAGTCTGGCCACATATGCCTGACGCAGCACTGATATGTACCTTTGCTTTGTTGCTTACATACATGTATGTGCATTTACTGTCCACGCTTTTGTAGGTTTTCTTTTTTTTACTTGATATTTATATTATGTTAATTTAAAAAAAAAATCAAATCTATATTATATTTGCCAGCTTCTCTGACAGCAACTTATTGTGTGTCATACAGTATTTCAATAATACATTATTGCTCAGTAATTACGTTAAAACATTAGATGCTAAAACCTAATGATACCATTACACTTGATCATGGTGTTCTGTGAAATCACAAAACTAGTTGGCAGGCCATTTGAGAAAGCAGTGGCAAACTGCTAAACATAAAATGCTGGGGTTGTTTTGAGACATCTTGTAAATCATTTGACCTCTAGTTGGCAGGAATTTTTTGGCAGTCCGCCAAAAACATTCATTTGCTCAATCATGTGGTGAGAACCAAATGAAGAAGTCAAACGGATGCTGTTGCAGTCTTCATCTCTCAGAAACAAAGCTCCAGCCACTTCTGTTAGATTGTTTGACTTCAGTAGATGACGCATCTGCTAAAATTATAATTGTATCGCCAGGTATTTCATAAATAAAATGCTGTCTACATGTTATTTGTTTCTAACAACATCTAGTTTCAGAATGGAGGTGGAGGCAGTCACAGCAGCTTTCCGCTGACCTGAGAATCAGCTGCACACACATGTCATGATTGTAACTTGCTCACAAAGCATGTTAAGAAAGGTGGAGACAGGCAAGCTCCATGCAAAGTGACAAGCATTGCATCAGAGGTCCCGGGTAGTTAGTGTTCTTTGGATATTTTCTCAGTGGCAGGCGTGGCAGGCAGGAGTAAGGGCAAATGAACGGGCAGAGAGATTGGCTGGTTCTGCACCAATGGGTGATAGATTTATGCATGACAAGCTCCATGTGGTGGAAGTAGGTGAACAGTGTGGAGACACAAATAGATTGTTAGGGTCTGGAGAGAATGGTACAGCCAAGATATCCGGTTGACACTCTACACTCAGAAGAAAGGCAAGGAGAACATATATTTGAACTGCTACTGGCACCATTGGAACTCATCGCTGGCTGCTGAAGATGGGGATGGACTGTTTATGGGAATGTTCAGAGTGCTGCAATGTCAGTTCTGAGCTCAGCGCTCATTTGTTTCTATCTGAATCATCAGCTTGTTAATTTTTTCCCTGGCTCACATTGTAAAAAGGTTGAAAAACACTGCAGTAAATGATTTGCAATTTGCAATGAACACTTCAGTTGGTGAACAGTTTGGCATCATCCTGATGTTGATTTCACCACAAGTAGGATTTAATAGAGCAGAAGACTATCTAGGGCAGTTTTGTTGATCTACTCACAGCAGGTGTTCTTACCTCATGCAGTCACACAACATTTATACATGTAACAGTTAAGAAACAGAAGACAGATGCAGATTAATTTGTTTATTGTTGAAAGTTAACATCAGATAACTTGATAAATATATAGTTTTTCTGAACTTGTCAGTTTTCTATGAGTATACTACAATAGCATTTGTAGTGCAGACTTACCCAGGTTACATTGTATTTCTGTGCATAAAAAAACACACAACAATAGTGTCAGAATAGCAAAACTAGACAAGAGCAAGCCCTAATACATAAAATAGATAAATTTTACACATCTACCTTGTTTAACTGCATATCTAGACACATCACAGCCATCCTAGAGTGACAAACTGATGCAGAAAGACAAGTTTGTGAAATAAGTGTGCTGGAACTGTGCAAGTTTGTGCAGAATCTCACAGGTTTTTGTGATTTGTGGCTTGGATTATTTTCTGAAATACAACTTGTTCTTGACCACCTACATTTACAGTAAAGCAGTACAAAAAGTTCACATATCACATGGGGGGAGAGAGGGATGTGCTTTTTGGCACCTGTGTCTATTTTTGCATTAGCGTGCCTGGAAAATAGGTCATCACTGTGAGTAAAAAGTAAAGGGCCCTTCTCCACGCCTTTTAGGCGTATAGGGCTAGACCTATTTTTTTATAGACTAATCGGCACAAGGTGGATGATGTGGTCAGCATCAGGCCGGCCGCCTTTACTTCCCAGGACTGCACCCGGTACCCACTCAAGGCAGGGTCGACCTGGAAGCTAAGGTCATTTTTGAAAAAAAGTTCGCGGCTTTGCCAGGGAGCAAACCACGGCGACTCCCTTAATCACTGTAGGCAGGGTTGAATGAAAGAATGGATTTAAAGATTTTTTTTTTCTCCTTTATCCCCAAATTAAACCGACGTCTTCATGGGACATTAGTGATTCTGACTATCATTTAACTCCCACATTAGTGATTCTGACATATCATTTAACTTCCATATTAGTGATTCTGACATATTATTTAACTCCCACATTAGTGATTCTGACTATCATTTAACTCCCACATTAGTGATTCTGACTATCATTTAACTCCCACATTAGTGATTCTGACATATTATTTAACTTCCATATTAGTGATTCTGACATATTATTTAACTTCCATATTAGTGATTCTGACATATCATTTAACTCCCACATTAGTGATTCTGACATATTATTTAACTTCCATATTAGTGATTCTGACATATTATTTAACTTCCATATTAGTGATTCTGACATATCATTTAACTTCCACATTAGTGATTCTGACATATTATTTAACTTCCACATTAGTGATTCTGACATATTATTTAACTTCCATATTAGTGATTCTGACATATTATTTAACTCCCATATTAGTGATTCTGACATATTATTTAACTTCCATATTAGTGATTCTGACATATTATTTAACTTCCATATTAGTGATTCTGACATATCATTTAACTTCCATATTAGTGATTCTGACATATTATTTAACTTCCATATTAGTGATTCTGACATATTATTTAACTCACACATTAGTGATTCTGACATATTATTTAACTTCCATATTAGTGATTCTGACATATCATTTAACTTCCACATTAGTGATTCTGACTATCATTTAACTCCCACATTAGTGATTCTGACATATCATTTAACTCACACATTAGTGATTCTGACATATCATTTAACTTCCATATTAGTGATTCTGACATATCATTTAACTTCCACATTAGTGATTCTGACATATTATTTAACTTCCATATTAGTGATTCTGACATATTATTTAACTTCCATATTAGTGATTCTGACATATCATTTAACTTCCACATTAGTGATTCTGACATATTATTTAACTCACACATTAGTGATTCTGACATATCATTTAACTTCCATATTAGTGATTCTGACATATTATTTAACTTCCATATTAGTGATTCTGACATATCATTTAACTTCCACATTAGTGATTCTGACATATTATTTAACTTCCATATTAGTGATTCTGACATATTATTTAACTTCCATATTAGTGATTCTGACATATCATTTAACTTCCATATTAGTGATTCTGACATATTATTTAACTCCCACATTAGTGATTCTGACTATCATTTAACTCCCACATTAGTGATTCTGACATATTATTTAACTTCCATATTAGTGATTCTGACATATTATTTAACTCCCACATTAGTGATTCTGACATATTATTTAACTTCCATATTAGTGATTCTGACATATCATTTAACTTCCATATTAGTGATTCTGACATATTATTTAACTTCCATATTAGTGATTCTGACATATTATTTAACTTCCATATTAGTGATTCTGACATATCATTTAACTTCCATATTAGTGATTCTGACATATTATTTAACTCCCACATTAGTGATTCTGACTATCATTTAACTCCCACATTAGTGATTCTGACTATCATTTAACTCCCACATTAGTGATTCTGACATATTATTTAACTTCCATATTAGTGATTCTGACATATCATTTAACTTCCATATTAGTGATTCTGACATATCATTTAACTCCCACATTAGTGATTCTGACTATCATTTAACTCCCACATTAGTGATTCTGACATATTATTTAACTTCCATATTAGTGATTCTGACATATTATTTAACTTCCATATTAGTGATTCTGACATATCATTTAACTTCCATATTAGTGATTCTGACATATTATTTAACTTCCATATTAGTGATTCTGACATATTATTTAACTCACACATTAGTGATTCTGACATATTATTTAACTTCCATATTAGTGATTCTGACATATCATTTAACTTCCACATTAGTGATTCTGACTATCATTTAACTCCCACATTAGTGATTCTGACATATCATTTAACTCACACATTAGTGATTCTGACATATCATTTAACTTCCATATTAGTGATTCTGACATATCATTTAACTTCCACATTAGTGATTCTGACATATTATTTAACTTCCATATTAGTGATTCTGACATATTATTTAACTTCCATATTAGTGATTCTGACATATCATTTAAC